TCCTCTATTAAAACAGTATAGAACCTATAGAGAACCTGTGTCATGTTTTGTAACACCATTCACTAGGTTGATTTAGCCACAGAACAGGAATGTCATCTGACGATGGTAAAGCACACAGAAAGGACCAAACTCGACTTCCGGTTCCCAGTTTGCCGCTCTGCCATTGGTCAAGCCAGTTGTTTGATTTGCGCGTGCTGCCGTCAACTGACGTTCCCGTCCTATTGATAAATCAGCCTACTGCCATATCATTTACTGGTAAAATGCTGTATTCTGGGGTGTCATTTCATTAGTTAAAAAACCTATTACATCAGTCAAGTTGAGCTCACATGATGTAATGGGTGATGGTACTAGTTATTACAGAAAATGTTATGAGGAAATATTTAATGATTGCTACACCTGCCCTCATGTTGACATGTTATATGTCATTGCTCCATGTAACTTTTTTGAACTCTTGTTTGTCATGTGATGGAATTTTTAAAATGTACCACAATGTGACCAGTATTAATTGTTTGCCATGTCACTCCCTACATCATTTGATTCCACACTGCTGTATTAACGTGACATTGCTTTTTATAATGAAAACCAATCTATCTAAGGAAATGTGTGGGTTTGAATCAGGTAGGTGCATGATTGTTTTCTGAAATAAGATTGTAAAACCTTTTACAATGTACGTATGTTTTCTTTACCCTTGCATTCATTTTGTAGGAAAAACAAAACCTGGAGACAGAATCAGACAAAAAAGTTATGGCAGAAAAAGAGAACAGCGTTAAATGTGAGTCAAGAAAACCTCATCTATTGTCCAAAAAATGGACAAGTGTGCCTTTTTGTTTCTTATGATGTTGTGGCTAGATTGTTTTTAAATCTAATTCCAAGTTTCCTTTATATTAAAGCTATGGCAGAGTTTGCCCAACTGAAAGTAGAACTGGCCAAGTCATTAGAAGCTCAAACTGGGAGTCAGAGTGAGCAGATGAATTTAGCTCAAAGAAATTCAGAACTGGTAAGGATGAAGAGTAGTTTCATTGATTATAAGGGAAAGAAAGGTGCAGTTTTGATGGTCTCTAAGATGGGAAGATGCAGTGTAGGTTTTCAAAAAGTTAAAATCAAGATTGTGCAATGAAAGTGCTTTCGTTCTGTCAATGAAGAATGTGGATAACTTGTTTGTATCCTTGGGTTTTGTTAGGCAACTGAAAATGCTGGCTTAAAGGCATCTTTAGAGGAAGAGCAAAGACAACAGAAACTTTTTAATGAAGAAATTAACAGGTTGAAGGTACAAACAAACCATGAACTTCAGTTATTTACATAACAGTTTACTGTATTATTTCTGCATTGTACGTCAAGGGAGGTCTTTGAGGGTACAAAAATACTCTTTGTTAAACATTGTACTCACTATCTGTCTTCTCTTTGGCTAAGAGCCTGCAATTAATTTTGAATTGGAAAGAAGTGTAACCAACAGATTAGTTTGTTATCCTCTAGCAGTTGACTTATCTGTAACTTGCTAAGCAATACACAATTCCCATGAGCATATAACTCACTCCTAATTTAACTCGCATGCTGGTGGCTCTGCCTCTAACATACTCATCTTATTACACTCCTCCCCACCCCAAATCCCCCCCCCCCCCCGGCCTCACTTTACAAGACAAATGAGAGCAAGCAAGCCTGCTTAAGGAATACTGCTAGTAACCTTGTCAAGGCTTTTTATCAATAGTCTTGCCACTGTTTATAGAAAAGCCTTACCAAAATAGGACAGTATAAATTAAACAGGTGTTGTAACATGTACATGTATAACTGTAAGGAGCTAAGCTGAACTTTGTTGATGGACGTTTCCAAACTCCAATAATTTTTGTTTTAGGAACAACTAGAGGACAAGTCCAGATTAACTGAAAACTTAGAAAAACAGTTGTCTCAAAGGTATGTTGACCTTGTTAGTGGTTCCCTCCTTAGCTGATCTTATTCTCCTCAATTTTGAGTGAGTTACATATGGTGATATGTATTACAGCAGCAATCTGAACACCACTAGCAGCTCAGGCTATCTTTAATACAAAAATTAGGGGAATAAAAATTTTCAGATGAGAAATTAGAGAAGAAGTGATCTTTATTACTTTGAAAACTTAAGAACATTATATCTTTTTGTTACAGGCCCTCTGGTGATGAAATAATCACTTTACAGAATCAGCTTTCCACAGCACAGCAACAGGTGTCCTCACTTCGGCAAGAGAAGGAAGAAGAGCATAAAACTTGGCAAGAAAAGTTGAATGCAGCCTTAACAGAAGTCACTAGGTATGGTGGTTTATGTGTAGCCATTTTTACAATTTAGATCATCCATACAGCCATACAGGTACATGTACATGGACAGTGCTTGATTGATAAACAATAATAAATGATAATGTAACTTAATTTACTCTCCTGATGTACAAATCAGCTAAGGGGTACTGTACAGTAGATTTAGAACCTATGAATAAAACTTTCACATAACAATGGCTTCTTCCTTGCATGTTGTCAGGATTTGGCTTATCAATAGATTCCTATTAAGATAATATCTACATTGAAAGTCTGGTTGCAAACTGGAAGGATTTTAAGTGAATGTTCATTTTATCTGTTTGTGTCCTCCACCTCAAGGCCATTTATAAAGAGAAATATTTCCAAAAATTGAAAGGATGTTTGATTGTAATGCAGCTTCCAGATGAAAGTGAAGGAGCTTGAAGTGGAAAAGGCATCAAAAATTGAACAAGTACAGAGGTGGGTAGCACACAATTTGTAGTGAAATTTAAGACTTTACTGTCATTTTAATAAAATAATGTTGTCTTCTATAAATAAGGTGTCCTTCCTTTATAGTCTGCAGACAGCAATAACAGCATCCACAGAAAGCAGAAAACAAGTGCACGAAGAAAGTCAAGAGAGACAGAAAAATCTAATCAACCTTCAGCATGATCTCAGTCAGGTTGGAATATAATAAATTTTGACAAAAATATGTTTTTAGCGGAGCTCTCTCTAGTGCGAAGCCTGTGCAGCGGAGTAACACGGGTAAGAAAAAATGGTAACCTATAGATCTCAGAAATTTTAGTTATCATGTGACCATCGGTCCATCCACATCATCCACCCCCTACATGTAAGATGATCTCAAGTGTCACATTTACTACACGCCTGGCCACCTACACTTTTAGAGAGAAAAAAAAAACAAAGGCGACTCTTTTTTTCCACTACATTTTGATGTCTACACTGACATGGATATCACAGAAAGAGCTAGTGGGAGAGATAAAAAACGAATTAAAGAAAAAAAATTTTGCTGGAAGAATAACATGAAAATTTAATAGCTGCAGCAGTGAGAAAATGAGAAATGCTAGTGGCCAGCAAGATGAAAAATGAGAAGCAGTGAAAAAAAAGAAGAGCAGGAACACAAGCAACAAAATGAATGTTTTGTGAGGAAATACGACATTTTCTCCATGAAACGTGTAACTAGGAAGTTTCATGTTTTGGTCATTCAAAACAATGTACAGAAAGTGCGCTGCACATGCAAAGTTTGCTTTTTTGGGGTTCTCATTGCCATCGCTGTTTAGCATTACATGATTTTATTTTTTGCTTGCGTAAGGTTATTAATGAGAGCTTCGCTTTTAACCCTGGCTAAATCTATATGATGTTGATAAAACCCAAAGCTTATCCTACTAAAAGTCAATGGTTAGCTGCTGTTGAGGAATCGTCTTCTTTTTTTGTTTTCAGGTCAATGTTGTTTTGAAAGAAAAGGAGACATTCATTGATTATCTTCAAAAGCAACTTGATGAAACGAAAAGTAAACTGGACTCTGAGGTTAGTACTGAATTAAAACTTTGTACGAGTATTTACATGTGCTTATCACTGGGGTATTGAACCCTTTTGCAGATAAAAACTGTTTCCTAGGGTTCTACCCTTGGTGACAGTCGAATAGTGGTTAATGTCACTGTTCCGGTAAAGTTTGAGACTACTCTACACGTACGAGCTAAGCTAAGCTAAGAGTGTAAAGTATAATAGTTAGAGTACACCAGATGCCCTATAGGACCAGAAGACTCATGTTCCATTAACTGCGTTCTACAATTGGGTCGTAAAACTTTCTTTAACCTGATTAAGGACAGTGTTTCTACCAACAACAGCTCCATTCTTGCGGCTCTTGGTTACTGCAAATTTTTTGGTCAGTCTTTTTTTCATGTTTTGATGTTTTGACATTTTGTTGAGTGACGCAAAATAGTTTAGTAAAGTGCCACGAACAAAGTACAGTTTTGTGTTTAGGTCTCATTGAAGGAAGATTCCAATCAACAAGTTCGAAACCTGCAAAATCAGTTACAAGAGGAACAGAGACAGACCCAAAATAGGTGAGATTTAGTTTCATTTGTACGTTTTTTTTGTTTGTTCGGGGGGGGGGGTAAGGGGGAATTAGGGGCGAGAAGGGAGAGGTTACAAGCTTATAGTACTACAGGGGTATTTTTATAAAGGTGAATGGATTAGAATAGTGGGATTTTTGCTTATTTTGAAATACTAACATTTAGAGATTACAGTCGGGGTTTGTGTAGTAATAAAAACTAGAAAAATAGTTAAAAAAGGGACGAGAAAAAAGATTTATTTTGTTTTTTTAGTGAATAGAAAGAAAAACACCAAACAAAAATTTAAAACCCAAAAAAAAGAGTAAAAAGAGGAAAAGAAAAAGACCAAAAATGGGTAATTTTTTGTTTTTTTTGTTTTTTTTTTGTTTTTGGGGGGGGGGGGGGGGATGGGGGAAGGTGGGGCAAGGAGGAAGTATTAAGCAGCTTATACTACTACATGAGAAATTTCTGCAATCTGAATGGCTTAGAGCAGTGGTATTTCTGCTTAATTTGAAATACCTACATTTAAAAATTACAGACGTGTGGTGGGTAGTAGTATAAACAAATAATAGCATGATTTGTACGTGATATTTGGCGTAAATACCAGTCGTGATATTTCAAAATTGTCTCAAATTTCAATCACCTAACGGCTCATGAAATTACGTATAACAATTTTGAAATATCACTTGTGGTATTTATGCCAAATATCACTACAAATCATGCTATTACCTATACAAATATTTGAATTAACTGAAACATGGCTAGTTGTCGCCAGAGAATCATGACTACTTTGGGGTCTTAACACAGTGTACAAATCTTTGTTATTCTCCCTATGAATTATGCTCGCATTTGAAAAGCTGTTATACTGAGTTTTAGACTGTTAAAAAAAAAAAAACTCCACTGGGGCCTTTCAAAGTTTTTTCATTGTTCATGAATTTAAATGCCTTATTCCACAGAGACTCAACAATAAAAGATCTTGAAACCAGCCTTCAGCAGAAAAAAGATGATATTACAAGATTTGAAGCTGAACGAACAGAACTTATTGCTAAGGTACAGAGATCGAAACCTCGACAGAGCAAATAAACCTCCGTATAACAAAGTCCTCAGTATGACAAACTATTTCTTAATTACCCCAGTAATAGTAAACCATATGAAAAAGAACCTCGATATAATGAAACCTCGTTATAGCGAACAAATTTTGCCAGTCCCTTGGCCCTTCGTTATATCCACTGTACTTGTATTTATTAAAATAATTACCCCACCCACAGTTTTAATCTCTAGAACTATAAGCATACAGAGGTGTAGACTAGCAGTGAATTTTACCCTGCAATCACAGCAAGATTACACCTATACACCCTGTACCTGTGTAGATCGTTAAAAATAACCAACACCAGCAGTTGGTTCGGTAAAAGCCCTTTAAGTTCCAAGAGTTACCAACATCAATAATTATTGAAACTAGGCTAACCAATACTTATATTATTCTCTCCTAACAATTTCAATACATCATCAAGAGAAAAGGTTTTGAGAATCAATGAAATGATCATCAAAGCCTGGAGAATACTTTCATTTTTTATCAAATTCTCTCAACTTATTTTGTAAGGAAATGCATGGAGATCAGTCTGGAGTAATTGTATGTGAATAGTGGGGCCTATTGGGTTCAACGTTCTTCAATCAGTCTCTTTAACTTTCCATGAGGCAGTCATCTTTAAGATGAACACCCAGCTGTGCCACTTCCAACTGCATTTTTGTTTGAGAAAGTTGACTGAGTTTCTGTATTTTACAAATGAAATTCAGGGAGTAAAACTTAGGCAAAACAAACTTTAACCTCTGCCATAAGTGAAAGCAAGAAGGGGTCAGTAATGACAGGTCTACATGAGAAATATATCCACCTGATGACAGGTAGATAAGAAATGAGAATTGAAATGGGAAAGTGAAATACCATTTAGGTTAAATAGCATAAAAACTGAAAAAACTGCTAGTGTAGAATGTTTTGAATGTTGTTCAGAGAAAATTTTTTTAAATAAAATATTTCAGAAATTGGCTACTGAGTAGAAACTGAAAAAAAAAAATAGTATTCAAGGGACTCAAGGAACTGAAATGTACAAAACAAGAAAACTTCAGTTTTCAAAAGTTATGTTTAAATATTATAACATTTGGTGTATTTTATTCACATAATTACTTTATTTATATTGTTTTCACTGCAGATTGAAGCTGGTGGTGGAACAGAGACTATTATTAATCAACTCAAACAAGAAAAGGTAATTAAAGAACCTCTAGGACATCTTGTAATCTTCTGAACTTTGTAGTTTTATTTGAAAAGATTCCATATCCTTAACAACGATATGATTTTTATTTTGTGTGGTTAAAGGAATAAAATTTGAACTGTGGAAATAATTTGATATGCTGAAATCTTTCTGAAGTTTGTAGAAAAAAGCAGTAGCTGTTGTTAGTTTATTCTTTTGATATATACTTTCCTCAAAGTTGCCAGTCACCTTGCTCATCTTCCTGTTTTCATCCCATCTCTCAGCACTAAAAACCCTCTTGTTTCCGGTTTTTTTATCAACAGGAGAGCTATCAGAAAAGGTTACAAGAGATGGAAGCTTCCCTTCATACTCAAGCACAAGAACATTCCAGGAAAATCGAAGAGATGCACAAGGAGCAGAATAAGGTGACCATGATGTGACAAATGTCATGAACTACAAACAGTCAATTCTTCAGGTTTTTTTCAAGATGGACAGAGGTTCCCATCCCACCTGAAACCCTTATCATTGCAAAATGCAAACTCAGATTGAAATTTCTCAGAAACCTTAATAGGAGATTGACCCTCAGCCACCCTCCCTCCCTGGGAATTGTCTTGTGGGGGTGGGGAAGGAAACTAAGTGGGTGATCAATAGTTTATTAGGACCTATTATTGAGTCAGCGAGGATTTTTCCCAAGTGTTCTGATGATTAACTTGATCATCTAATAGTGGAATTAAGGAACTGCTTTTTGTTCAAATTCTGATAATTTCCTGACCCTTTAGGTGAAGGAATTTATTAGAACTTGGACAAAAAGCAGTTCCCTAATTCCACTATTAGATTATCAAGTAAATTTTGACTTTTAAAAACTTTGAAGAAGTTCTCAAGTTTCTGAATTTTTCAACAAAATATGTTGGAATTTCTCTTGATGTGCTCCCTGTTTAGGTTTTCTAGAGCATCTTTTAATGCCCTGACAACTTCATTCATAACATTTTAAAACTTTGAAACCATCTTGGCACTGCGACATAAGGAACGTTGCCATGACAATTTTGTAATTTCACATGTTGATTTTTGAATTAATGCTGAAATTGGAGCCAAAACATTAAGGATGTTGTAATTATTCAAAAAGTAAGCTGTTAATTTGTTCTCTGCAGGTTGAGGAGGCATTAGCCATAGCAAAGGACACCTCTGGAAAACTGGAAAATTCTGTGCAGGATCTAACAACCATGTGCAGTAATTCATCCCAACAAATAGAGGAGTTGAGGAAAGAAATAAGAGAAAAAGTGAGTTTCTATCGAGTAAATTCACCCTTTCATACTATGCTGTAAAGAACAGAGCCAATCATTATTTAGGTAGAGATCCTTTGAATATAACTTCTGCAGCACATGACTAGTCATATTTACAAAAATATCTGGTGGTGCTTGAGCTTTCCACATTTTCCTGCAGAAAAAAGATCAGATTGTGACAGGCAAAACGATTTATTCTACAAACAGTTGTCCTGAGTGAGTTTGTAACCAATCATGAAAACTCAAATTTTAACTTCTTTAGAATGTAAAATGTAGAATGTAAACTTCTCAGAAGTCCAAGTTAAAATGAGAAACGAAACTGAACAGACAGCAGTAAAAAAAGAGAAGTGAAAGGATTTACAAGAGAACAGCAAAAACATACCAGTAACCCAGTGTTGCGAAGATCAGCTTGGATCTAAAGGAAATCCTTTTTGTCAAAACAAGTCTAAAAACACATCATAAAGTCAGTAAATTTATTAATATTTGTTATTTTCATCACTATTATTATCATTTTTAATTTTTTGTTTTATGTTGTTATTTTTAGAGTGAAAGTCTAGTTGCCCTTGAAGCTGCAAAGGCTGCTGAAAAGTCAGTCTTAGATGAACAAGTCAGGTCTTCCCAAGAGACCTTGCAGGAGAAGCTAAAAGAGCTAAGTGCTCTTCAGCAACAAAATGTAAAGGTACAGCAGAATGCTAACATTATGTCGCTTGGTTAGGGAAGCGGGTACTACGCAAGTCAGGTAATATAGCAGAATGCAAGGTGCTTAGCCTAGTACAGCTGAAGTAATTTAAATTTATTGTCATCAAGGTTGTTTAGGAAATAGATCAGGGCTTCCTTGTCTATCGGGCAAGTAAGCTTTAAAAGTTACTTGCCCAGCAAGAAAATCTATTTTGTCCCAGAATACTGGACAAGGTGTTATTGGAGCCCTGATAAATGCTTGATAAATCAACCAAGTTGTGACCATCAAAAAAGTGATCACCTAAGATATCAATTCTGTTAACTTATAGCCAATTTCTCCCCACTATGGCTGCAATTAATGTTTGGAGTTTCTAAAGAAGAATCTGTATTTTGATGGGTTTAAATGGCTAGGTTGTCAGTTTGAATCCACACTTAAATATTTTTTGTTTATTGTATTCTGCTTTTCAAGCTCAAAGACGATTACAGTGGGTTACGTGAACAGCACTCGGAACTTGAAGTTAAAGTGAAAACATCTGAAATGGAAATAGAAAGTCAAGCAAAAAGATGTGCTCAGCTGGAAAGTGAAATTAAAGGAAAGGTGTGTAAACTATTAAATTTTTTGTAGAGAATGTGCAGTACTTATGACATAATTTATCAATGGATTCCATCAGGATTAAACTTACCATCAGCATAAATTAAAAGCAAGTCAGAGTTTAGGACTTCTTTTCTCCCCATTTAACTTGTTACATCACTTAAGGTGGATTTTGTATCGCTACAAAAACTGCAATATTTAAACGTTTTGAGTTTTACCCTGTTTTTTTTTTATTTTATGAAATCAACAATAGTGATGGAAGTTTGTTTTATTTTTGGTAGGTTGAGGTTGTGACACTACTACAACAAGAAAAATCCTCTGAGAAAACATCACTTCAACAACAAATTGAAAATATTCAACAGTCCCTGAGTAAAAAGGATAGGGAACTGGTAGCTGTACAAGGGGAACTTCAAAAAGTATGTTCCTTATGGTAAACTATTTTTTAAAAAAATGTGCATACTACATTATTATAAACTGAACTGCTGACATTTGCTTGTGTAATTTGTAGTACAAAGAAACATCAGCTGAGAAAATTAAATATCTGGAAACTGAGAAGGAACAATTATCTCTGAGTTTGACCTCTTCCAAGAATTTAGTGGAGGAAAAGGTTGGTTGTATCTTTGTAATTTAATAAATGTTATTATTATTTTTATTATGGAAATCTGTTGTGGACTTAGATTACTATTCAGTTGTCAAGTATTTTATAACCCTAACGCTAACCAGTTTTTCCGTGTTTTTGTTTAGGAGAAATCTATCACCATCTTGGAATCGGATCATCAGGAAACAAAAAAGGAAATTATTTCATTAAAGGAACAACTTGCCTCCATTTCAGAAGTAAGTGCAGTTCTGGGTAACTTCCAGGCATGCTGACAGACACATTTGAAGATAAGGAATATCACTATATAGTATTTCCTTTTAAAACATGATCTCAATTAAGGACCTTTGTAAAAATTTATTCTTCATAACTGGCAAATTGCTGGTCAACCTCTCCACTAAACAATGTACAAAGTAAATTCCAGACTTGCTGTACCTGTAAGTATGCACTTTTGGTTCCCCTTGCCTTTTACAGTCACATTTTCTTCATGTAGATGTATGAACAGTAAACAGCAAGTAATAAAGATTAATGATAGCACTACATCTGTGTTTTTTGAATTACTTTGTTTTGATAGACTGTAAAAGACAAAACTGATCAACTGGAAAAAAACACTAAACAACACCTTGAGGAAAAGGTCAGTACTTGAATTCCGTTTGCAAATCTGAAAACCATTTTCTTTATTTTCAGTGTTGATTGCAAAATCAAGATATTCCCTTCCTAATATTTGTCCATACGTTATACTTTAGATATACCCTTAAAATTCTAAATCATATTTCCCTGTTATTTTTTGGCATGTCATTGTGATATTTCCATGTTATCTTTGTATGTGTTTTTTTCCCATGTATCAGTAAGCTTATGTTTCTCTCTGGTGATATCCCTGTGCTGTTCCATTATATAAGTGCTTGGAATGCTTACCCAAAACATCCTTTGTTGTAATGCCATTTGTTATGGATGCCTTTCTTATCATTGCTTTGCAGAAAGCATTGGAGACAAAATTATCTGAGTTAGACACGACCAACAGGAACCAGACATCAGAACTAATGTCGACTCTAAAGAATATTAAAGAAAAACTACATGAAAAAGAGGTATTTTAATCAAGAATCTTAATGTTTATGAGTTATAGCCCTTGAGTACCTAATCACTTATAAGTTGGTTCTGTTTTTATTTAATAGGAATTGTGTGCAAAACAAGCTCAAGAACAACAACAGCTTCAACAGAAGGTTTTTAATATATATATTTCTTACTGCTTTCAGATGGATTTGTTTCATATCAGTTTTAACCCATTCGCCCCAGGAAATTTTGCGGAAAAACGGGTTTTGAAGCTAGTCGTATGGTTTTTTGGTCACTGTTGTGCTATAAGGAGCTAAAACTTACCACAATGGAAGCAATTTACAGGTCGTCGAACACTTCGGGGCCCTCTAATCCAGATGCCAAAAAGTAGCTTGCGAAGTTCGGGCATGTGCAGAAAACAAAATTTCGTTTTTGAGCATAAAAGTAACCCAGCAGTCTTGACTTTTACGTTTCGCTTTCTCCCCTTCCCTCTTGTTTAGCTTTTCTTGTCTCATTTTTTTTCTTTTGCTGGGCATTTAGTCGGCTTCATTTAGGTGAGAAAAGTTTTTAGGAATAAAGCTTTTGGGATCTATAGCTCAAGTTAGTGGACAAAGTTGTTGTTGACCATTCAAACTGATGACATCACAAGCGGTAGAAGGGACGTGGATCCGCACAGGCGGTAACCGGCGGCACAGGGGCGAATGGGTTAAAAACTTGGCTTTCTATAAAGAGACATCATTGTTTAAAATGTGTTTGTGTTTCTTTTCACTGTAGATTCAGCAACTGGAACAAGGAAAAACTGACTTAGAGAAAGCTATGAAGGAACTTGGAGAGGTGAGTGTGTTGATTATCAGATGGAATTATCAGATGGAAACACACCATCACAAAACCTCTGGAGAACATTATCTTCAAGGGTGAAGTGTTGTGTGTTTGGCATTGATTACAGAGAATCAAGCCTCAGCTCCAGAAACAACTCAGTTTGTTGGTTCAAAGTCAGCGCAATTGAATAGGTCTGGCTTCTCTAAAATTTGACCTGTAAATGTTTTAACAGTGGAATTCCTCCTTTGGGACACCTCTATTTAGGGACACAAAATCTGTTCCCGATAAAATGTTAGAATAATCTTGGTTTTTGTTACCTGTATTGAAGAGACACCTCTATTCAGGGGAAAGGGGCACCATTTCTACATCTCGAAACCCAGGTATCACCTCCATTCAGAGGACTGCTTAGCTCACAAAACGTCACTGTAAAAGTGTACACTAGTCACTGTGGTGACAAATTTCACAACATGATCTATCTCACTTAACTCAGTGTACTACACTTGTAGGAATTCAACACACAATATTACAGAGACAGGCTAATCATATTTGTCAAACATTATCTAGCTGCTTGAATTAATGACTGCAGCAGATTCCGAGGCAGAATATATAAAAAATATTTTATTTGTTGGTTAATAATTATTATTAACAAACCCTAGCTCAACCTCTCTTCAGGGGACATTTGCCATGGTAACAAGGGAGTCCCCTGTATAGAGGTTCCACTGTATATAAACTAATTAGTACCCTTTCTTGGCCTTCACATTTGTTTGTCTTAGTTATTGTCGCCCGTCCCGCCTTTCTTAAATGAAATCCTTGTAATTTTCTTTTCGTTTCTTTTTACAGGCCCACCAAGAGCGAATAACTGTTTTAGAGACTGAATATAGCAATAAGGAAATGAAATTACAGGAACAGGTCAGATTGTTGTTCGTAGTAAAAGTTACACAACTAGACTCAAGTCGTTCTCCTGAATTGAGTTAATCTTTTGAGTTTCTGTGGAAACCATTAATGCGCAGGTCATTCAAAGAAGATCGTCAGAGCAGCACTTTCGTTTGGTGCTCCTTAATATTTTATATTCTTTTTACTTCCCTTTTAGGCAAGAAAGTTAGCTTGATCAGTTGGTGATCGTTTAATTAAATGTTTTGTTCATTTTTGTTCGTTTGCAGTTTTTGTGTGTGTTACCAAAATCTGTATGAGAATTTCAATACTTTTGTCTTGGCTAGTGAATCTTTTAGCTAAAGTTCATGTGACATTTTCTTTCAAAGCTTGCTGAACAAGAAAAAATTGCAAGTGAGATGCAAACATCATTGGAGCAAAAAGATGATCGAATGACTGGAATGCAGAGAAGAATCGAAGTATGTGATTCTTGTAAGCCTTTGATTGCCAACACTTGTGCTGTGATGATTTTAATGAAAGCCAACTGGTTTGTACTGCTAACTTAAGCTTCTTGTGATTTTCGATTAATATTAGAGGGTTAAATGTAGTAAATCTTTCTCTACAGGTTTTAGAGGAAGAAGTAAAGAAGGAATGTGAGAGTTGTAAGAACTACGAAGCACAACTTTGTAAGATGCAAGTAGCATCTAAGGTAATCTTTCTTAAGCCCTGTTTCACTGCAGCCACATGCATGCAACTGTTAATTATTTTCATTTCCTTTGTTCTCTTCTTAGGAGGAGCAAGAAAGGAGAAGTAAACTTGAGAAAGAACTAGAAGATGCCAGAAGTGATATTAAGGTAAAAGCTGTCCACGTCACCTTCAGCCAAAGTACTTTTTGAAAAGCTTCTATTTGTGAGTGGTGTTTACTCGCTTTATTTATGGTCTAAGTCTGAAAATGTAAAATGCGAGATTTAATTTTTATGATTTATGATAAGTGAGAAGCACCTACTGTTCGGTTTACACCACAAATGCCATCCATACTGTGAACGAGCCTTCTGATTAGGGGGAAAAGGGCACAAGAGAAAACGCAAGGAAAGCGATTAGGGGGTGGTTTGGGGGGGGGGGGGCTGTACCCCCTTCCCCGGCTCTTTTTGCCTCTTCATTACACTGCGCTTTTTCACTTCTATTTACTTAATCCCCAAAACAGCGCTTGTTCACAAGTTATGCACGGCCTAGAAGGGAAATAACATGCCAGTAACCGAAGAAAAAGATTTTAACAGTAGTAAGAATAATGGAGCTGAAGATCACCACTTGCTTTGCATTTTCAGGGCGGCAGCGATGCTCCAGACAAAAAGTAAACTCTGTGTTAGCTTTGGTTCATGAGTGACATACGTATATCACTTCCCCGGACTTGAACTTTGTTCTTTAGGGGCTTGTACTTTTTCTGAATGACTTGAAATGAAATCAGTCAACTCTCCCAGATGACATTACAGCAGTGTATTTGAAAGGTCTCAAATTTTCTGTTTAAGAGACCTGTCTGCCTTATAACACTTATAAGAATGACAGGAACCCAACTCTAGGTGTCCGTTTTAGGGGCGGAGGGAGGGTGTTTCCATTACAGAATTGTCTGTCAACAGAGGGTTGACTGAACAGAGAGTTGGCTATATTCTGCTTTTCATTGCTTTTCACTCATTGTGAATGTTGATTGTTCCCAGGACCTTCAGGGCCAGGTGGCAGCAGGAGAGGAGGAACTGGGGCAAGTCAAAAGACAGGCAGAAGAAACTGAAGGGAATTTGAGGCAAACTGTTGAACAACTCATTGAAGTGAGGCTTTGTTTTGTTTTGTTCAATTCTATGTCCCCATTGATGACTGTAAAATGAATTGTCATTTGCTTTTCGTTCTGGTAGACTAATCGAGGCTAAGTCACTAACGTCACAGCAAAATCTCAGTCGTGTCTATTGTTTTCGGGAAAGAAGGCAGAGGAAAAAAAAAAACACTCATGTAACTACAGTTCTGCATTTTGGTTTACTATTTTTGACAATTTTTTTATCCCTTTCAGGCAAAGAATTCACTGGAGACGCAAATGTTGAATTTAAATAGTGATTTAAAAACTGCTAAGGAACAAACAGAGAAAGTACAAGGAGAAAAGGTACTTTAATGCTCCCCTGTCCCTTTATTTCTGCTCCTACGTTTCGTGCATGCTCTTTTCTTCAGTTTTTCTACACTTACCTCCACTCTCCCACTATCCTCAGTGCGGCATTTAGATTATTAAAAATCAAAGTCGTGTTCCCGTTTTGACGTTTTTTACTTCTCTGTTCAGAATTCAGTCGAACAAGAGGTAGAAAATCAGAGAGAAGCTTTTAATGGTTTAAGGTAAGCAAACAAGCGTCAATGAAGTTTGGTTCCGGTGTAAACATTTTAAAGAGTGAGATAGTTTAAAATGGGAGGGATGCCTTTCTTTGGTACTGGTACAGCTATAATAATAATAAATAATAAATGTTATAGCCAGGGACACCTCTTCAGCATAAAAGGCTGATATCAATGAGTCCCCTGAAACATTATCGTTTGTTTTTAGGATCTCTCTGCAAACAAGGATAGAAGAATTAGAGAAAAATCTTGCCACTGAACAAGAAAGCAAAGAAAAGGTAAACAGCATTATTATCGCACTAGTGGGGCCACTGAAATAACTGAGATTCAGCAAGAAACAAAAATTGTGCAGCGTTGAACTGCAAACACTGTTGTTTGTTACAGGTTCAACAGGAAGCTCAGGAGAAACAGCAGCTTCTAATCAAGCAAAAGCTGGAACTAGAAAACAAGCTACAAAACACTGAAAAAGATCTGAAAAAGGTTAGTGATGGAGCAGTGTTAAAATTATAAAACACGGTTTTTAATGAATCTGGCCTGACCTTCCGCGCGCGAAGACTGTTAACGTTAGATAATGATGTAAACTTCTCCTGAGCGGTCTTTCTGAGTTATAAGATGACAAGACAGCTCTCTTTCAGCTATCCTTGTGACGTTAAAGACATTTTAACAAAAAATTATCCTACTAGCTAAATTTGAAATTTTATATATATATATATATTTTAAAACTAAACTGAGCGCAGAAGAGGAGTAAGTTAATACTAAATCATACTTTCTGGGTTTCCTTCAATGTAGGCCATAGAACAGCACGAGGAAACAAAGGAGGTTTCTAAGCGAGTTCAGTTGTTGCTTAAAGAGGAAACAGCAGCTGTTCAAATGAAACTGGTAGGAAAGTAGTTTTGTGAATTCCAAACCTTCCTTGCAAGCACCCAAATTCTGGGGCCGTGCCGTTTATCAATACAAAAAAAGGCAGAATATGTTGTGTCACTCAAAGATAAGCATGTGAAATTGCGCTTTATTATGGAGTTATCACTAGTGTCATCATCACCATTTCTTGGAACAAGTGCCTTAATTTGCGACGTCCTGGACAAGGAATTCTTATCTAAATAACTCTGCATTTTTAGGCAAACGAAACCCAAGAACTAGAAGAGCTAAAGAAGGACAAGGAACAAACTGAAGCCAGGTTAAATATTCAGATTTCTTCATTAAATGAAAACCTTGCTGCGGCAAGAGCTGAGGCGCAGAAATATCAACAGGAAACGAAAGAGACTCAGGAGAAACTTGAACAAGCAGAGAAGCGAAATGATGATTTGAAAGGAGAAACTGCTGGTGAGTGCGGACTGGTGACTAGTGAGCCTCGGTATGGTGTATGTATCAATCAAACAGTCATACACCGCAAACTCAGAAATCCTTTTGAAAAATTAACTTTTTCAACAGTGCGACCACAGTGTTGCTATCATTCGACTTTCTAGTTAAAGCGACGAAAAGTATTATGAAATCCCTGCTTTAGGGGACATAAAACTTGGTCCATTTTCTCTATATTTTTTACATTACGAGACATGATTCACTAACAGGGACTCTGTACTGTGGTGGTGTCCGTCTCTGTACTGATCGCTTGGACAGCTGGTTTTCCTAATTTTAAACTTGTATTTCATTATAGTTTTGGAAGCAACTGTTCAAAATAATTTAGACGAAAGGAGAAAACTTCTTGAAAGGTTTGTGACAGTCTACGTTCATTTTTAAGAAAAAACTGATTTTCAAACATACCACTTGTTAGTTCAGAGTGAAATAGAATATTACTGTTAATTGTAGATGTGTAGCGGGAGACGAGGCCTTGGAGAAACAGAAAAAAGAAAACGCTGAACTAAAAAAAAAAGTAGAGAATGCACAGGCCGCTATGATGGAACTTACACAGGAAAACCAATCACTACAGGTGAGTCTCAGCACCACCTTAAGTTCCCAATCAAGTCACGTCAGGGCCAAAACTGTTGTGATAAATAAACTTTCCCGTAAAATAGGCTTAGTAGACTTTCCAGTAATTAGTAATTGTTTTGATATATAAGCACATTAGAGCGTTATACAGAACAGCGCGCAGTGAGACTAAAGTAGGTGATGTGAATGATACCAACGAAATTAGTGTGTAAGCAATGTGAAAACAAGGTGGACTATGTGTGAACATACTAAGAAGCTATAATCTACTAAATGACAATCAGCTGTTGGAGATGGCTCAAGACCGCCATCAATGGAGGAAACTTGTGGTCGACTGCTCCGCAGCCAAAGGATGATGATGATGATGATGATGATAAGAGAATAACAAGACAATGTAACAATAATGTAGCCTGATTAATTTACGTACCAATTAAATAATGTGAGCAGAGTAGCCTAGGCGAGTAATACGAACGCAATGGAGCCTAGGTTCGGTGATAGATTGGAACCCCAGCATAACGAAATGCCAGGACACTGGAAAATGTTTTGGTTAATACGGGGATATGTTACGTTATATACACCTTATTATCCGACCGGGCTGTTTTTTGTTATCGAAGTTCCCAGCTCTGTCATGGAAGACGACTTCAGCTGAGACTGCATTCTGCTTCTTTTCAGATTTTAAACAATCAAAAGAATGCTCGGAGATGGGAAAACGATGACGATGTTACAACTTGCAATGGATGCGAGAGGCAGTTCTCCATGACCATAAGAAAGGTTTGTTTCAAGGGTCTAAAGGAAGATCAAAACTCTATCACATCATCCATACTGTTTGAAATCTTTTTTTGTTTCTTGCTAATATTTTTTCCTTCGTTTTCAGCATCATTGTCGGAATTGCGGGTAAGCATAAACACTCTCACGTTTCCTCTGTGATTTAGACTGCAAAACAGTCCGTATTTTTGCGTATTCAAGTACACGCGAGCAGTCAAACAAACGGTCTGGAACGAGGCTGAAAACAGAGAGCGCGTGTGAGGCTCGCGCGCTTCGCGCGCGTAAGACTCTTAAGGCACGCTTAACCGATTTCTTTACTGATTTTGAGAAAAAAACCGACTGTTTTGCAGTCTATCTGTGATTTAATGTTTGCGTTCATTCCCAAAACTACCAGGGTACATTTCTTTTTGGATAACGAACATTGTTAGTTAGGAAGTTTGAGAACAGAAAGTCCTAAAAGCGAAGGAGGAATCTTATTTCTCCTTACATTGTTGATTATTTTTTAATCAGGCAGAAGGGCAATGTGAATGAAGTTAGTCAACAGCTAGGCAATATGGCTGGATATTACACCTGATTTAAGTGGTCAACCTCTCATTTCTCCATACATTGTAATTCATTATCAATTAGGCAGGTGAGGAGAAGAGAGAATGCCATCAAAGTCAAAAGTGTTTTACTGATGCCTGTCTCGTCCTTTGTAGTTTGATTTACTGTTCTGACTGTACTGCGAAAAGTGCACCTCTTACTTCAAGCAAGAAACCAGTTCGAGTATGTGATAAGTGTTTTGCGGACGTCACATCAGGCACAGCCAAGGTACATTCCACTCATTTTGTTTACAGCTATTTCAAAAAAGGTTGTAGGAGAGAATGGCGAACGCGGCGAATGTCGAACGGAGGTTGCATGACCGAAAGGAACTGTGGTTACGCTATTTGAAATGCAAAATTTCATAAGTTGCGTTCACCTTGCGTGAAAATGAATACACCAACTGTGAACATTTGTCTGAGGGTTCTTGACTCCAAACGACTAAAGAAACTCACACTTTTTTTAATTGAAAGACGTTCCTCGTTTCTTCGTATGAACGGCCTTTTGTCTCCGACTTTAAATCGCCAGTCACAACAAATTTAGAAATATAGCACTCAACTGTTCTTTCAGAGACGCCCTGGAAAAATGAAGCCTCTGCACTGAATGCTGAAGAACATGGACAAACCATATAACCCGCAATCGAAGGTCTTCGCTAAATGGAGCTGGCATCATTGACTAGCTTAGATAGGTGATTATTTACCATCAGTATTCAAAACCCACAGTTCCTTTCGGTCGTACTATCTCCGTTCGACAATTGCCATTCGCCGCCTTGTTCTCTTAGACAACCTTTTTTGAAATAAGTGTATATTCCTAATAGCCAAGATTGTTTTTGAGTCAGGGTGATGTATATTACGTTACATCATACCCATTGCGTTACTTAATAGCTCAAATAGGGACGACTGCGTTACATTATACCCACTAAGTACTTGTTGCGGATCATGACGTAACGCGCAGTGTTGATTACGTTACGTTGCAATCCAATGGTGCATACCATGGAAACGTTCTTTGATTGTCTGCTTTGTGGATGACGATGATGGTGACCTCGCAATTTTCTCTCGTTACACTCAGATTACTGTGAATACATTAAACACCACACATGATAAAGATTGCGTTTTCACTCACCACTAAGAAGTGATGGCGTTGCATTTCAACCGAAATTGTGTTACTTCGTTTGCGTAACGTATTCCATTTTAATGACGCATACCTCCTCATAAATTTATATGGTATCCACCTCGCTCGATATGTTTTCAATGTTTTTGTTTTGTTTTGTTTGCTTTTTCCCAGTCATATTCTTTAGGTAACAAGCAAGGCTTTTAACTGAATGCACGGCACGTGAATATTCCATGGTGTCTAAATTTGTCAATCTGTAGTTTCTCCTTTCGTTATCGACGCATTGCAGAACTGGATGATGGTGAGATTTTACATGATCATCAAGTAAGAGATAATGTTTTGGAGAAGAACAATGTACTTATTAGGATTTAATCTCAGGGTATAAAGTCATTCATCTTATTAGCTTCTTAATATGTGAGGTTTACTGTGACATTTAGCTTCGCGTATTGTGACGACACCGCAAACAACCACCTTTTAAAGTCAGACGTTAACATATAGCTGCTGCAGTTTAGAAATACACGTGGATAGCGCCCTGCGTTTTTTTTCTTTTTCTTTTTTTTTTTTTTACAAAACAGGTTTGGATTCAACCAAGCCAGGTTTCTCAGAATATGTTAAACTTCACGTAGAAAGCGAGTTAATCAAAGAGTTAGCACATTAAGAAACAGCCCATAACAAAAAAAGTTCATTTCTAACCGACTTTTTAGCGCTTAAAAGCTTCCGTAAATCACTTTCTGCAAGAAGAAGTTTATGCTAAAATTGCAAACCTAACGGCAAGGGAAAGGTCACGTAACATCGGGAAGGCACGATGCTAAAAGTCACTATAACTAGAAAGAGAATTTACTTAATTAGCACTATGTCTTAATATTAAAGGAAATAAAGTTTACACAAGTAAGGAATGTTACAACTTTTCGCAATCCAAAGGTATATAATATTTTTAAAGACATGAAGATATCAAATCTAGTTGTATTTTCTTAAAATTGTTAAGGTTTGGACCAGAAAATTTATTCACTCTGTGAAATAAGCTGTGGCAGTGTATTTTAATATTGTTTATCATAATAGGTAAAGCTGGTAAATATTGTAAATAGTTAGGTGAAAATTATCTTTTAGTTAGCTGTATGTTTATAGTTATAAGGTAAATACGTTAAATTGAACCCTTAATCTACGTTCACACGGCTGCAGCAAACGAATTTTCGACCGGTGAAAAATTTCGACCGGACACTTCCTTCACACGGCACCGTTAAATATTTTTGCCCTTTTCTCACGGAACTTTGAATGGCTAGGTCTCTAAATTTTCGCACGGTTATTAAGGGAACACCTATACCCACGAATCGTCAACCAGGAGAAAATTCTCTTGTCTTTTCTTACTCATGCAGCCATTATACCTTGTAGAGGTACCTTTATCTATTTTTCAGTGACTGCAAATGGCATTATTCGCCGTTTTCTTAGGTGTGCTCAAATTCTTATCAAATGTTCGTACTTTGACGCTTTATTCCCAAAAGTAATTATTTTGAAAATATAAGCTGCGAAAATGCATCCGTGTGAACCAGACCTTGCTCTCCGAGCTCAAGGTTTCTCGGGATGTTATTCACTCTTTTTTTTGCGAGTGAAATTATGCCTGAAAGACGTTTCTTCTTAGAAAATTCACTCAAGGAGGTAGTCTGTATAATCTTATTATATGTATGAAAGAGGAACGAGAGGGATCTCCATCAGTTAAGACCCAACTTCATTTTTTTGTGAAAAAGTGCACTTAAGTTGATTTACAAACATAGTAGTTCTAACTTGTATGAGGGGAAAATCCTATGGTATAATCACATAAAATGAAGCCACTTCAGTGAAACCTTCACATTCTAACTTTGTTTGTTTTGGTTTGTATTTTTAAAATGAAAAACGCAATTTTTGTTCCCGTATATGACTGGTACTGTTACAGTAAGGAAACCTCTTAAATGAAATGTCAGAATTTTAGATAAAAAATGACTCCTGCTGAAAATGCGTAAATATTTTCTATCCAATGTCAATATTCAAATAAAAGATTATTAACAAACTAAACTGGGTTGGTCGGTTTTTCATCTTGCTTCTGTTCTTTGAAAATTCATGCTTTCATATCTGTGTGAAAAGATATTTACCTGTTTACGTAGTGATTTAAAAGTTGAGCCTGTATATTTTTCTGGTAAATTATTGTAAAGTTGCCATCCTACCAAATCCAATTTTGTAAATGAGGGAAACGAGTTTAGTCATTCAAAAGATGAGCAACCACAATTCAAGGCCATGAGACATCATCTCTTATTTAATTATTGAATTGTTCATCTCTGAAAAAGGGACGTCTTACCTAATAGAGCGTTTGCATTCACGTGACCTGCAGGTATGCAAAGTTATTGGAACAAAATACAGTTTTTCCTCCCTAAGCGAGGGGCCTAAGGCTACGGCGTAGCGAGGGTTTATAACTTTGTCGAAATTCGCATCGTGCGTGGATCGCAGAGCGCAATGACATCATCAAAGCGACAAACATGGTCTGTTGTTCTAACTGTTTTCGCGGCCGCTATGGTTCTGGCAAGAGATTTTGACTTCAGAAGTAGAGAACTATGAAGCAAGTCGAATCAGTAGCTTCAAAATAAGAGCGAGAATCGAGAATCTCAGCGTAATGAGATTTCTGTACTGAATTAATCGTTAGAATTAGAAACTGAGGCCATCAATTTCAGCTTGAAAGGGGAATAGAAGAAGACAGTTAAAAGAACCGTATGAAGGAAAAGATCTGTCAGCTAGGTGAGTTTTACTCACTGTTTTACTCACTTGGTTATCCTGTGTTATCCTTTGTTACCCTGTGTTACCCTGTGTTTTCCTTTGTTACCCTGTGTTACTCTTTGTTACTCTGTGTTACCTTTTTTAGCCTGTATTACCCTTTGTTACCTTGTGTTACTTTATGTTACCCTTTGTTACCCCGTGTTACCCTTTGTTACCGTGTGTTACCCTGTGTTACTCTTTGTGACCCTGTTTTACCCTTTGTTACCCTTATTTACCCTGTGTTACCCTTTGTTAACCTGTGTTACCCTTGTTAACCTGTGTTACCCTTTGTTAACCTGTATTACCCTGCGTCACCCCGTGTCCCTTTGTCCCCCTGTGTTTCCTTTGTCCCTTGTGTCCCCTTGTATTCTATTGTGTCGCTAGTGTCCCCTGTGTCATTGTATGTCCCCCGTTTCCCCTTGTGTCCCTTGTATCGAGTATGTCCCTTGTGTTTCCTGTGTCCCTTATGTTACCTTTGTCCTCTGTCCCCCTGTGTTCCCTGTGTTGTTCCCTGTGTGCCTGTGTCCCCTTGTGTCCTCTTGTGTCTCCCTGTGTCATCTTGTGTCCCCTGTTTCCCTCTGTGTTCCGCTGCATCCCCTGTGTCCTCCTGTGTTCCTTTTGTCCCTGGTCTCCTTTATTTATGTTATAGAAAAAAAATAATTTTTATATTTAGGGTTTGCAGACCGCAGAATTTTATTTCTCATTTAATGGTTGCTTGTAACGCGACACTGACTCTCTTGTGGAAAAGTTAATTTACATAACACGCTCGTAACGTGAGCTTGGGAGGCCTGTGCAGAAACAAACTGGAGATAATCTCTGTTTAAAGAACAATCTTGACTGAGTCAACAGTGAAATTTTTTGTTGTAGCTTCAGAAAAGCTGGAATTCATTCTTCTAAACTTAGACCTCTAAATCACTATCCGTGAGAATTTTAACATCCTGCAAATGAGCCCAGCGTGACAAAATATTACAGGAATCATCAAATTCACGGCCAAAAGAAAATCTTACCCGTGCATACCCATTTTGGTGAACAATGAGGAACCTTGAACCTTTATTAAAAGCTCAATCGCATCAGAGGTCAAATCCTGTTGGCCAGGAACAAAACCCACAGAAACTATTAAAAATGTATACATGAAGCAGATCAACTTTATGACTTGTTAATGTATAAAGTCATGCGGCAAAAATAAAGTTTGCTCAGTCAAAATTATGAACCTCCCAGAGCATATTCTACGCGCCGGAGAAAATGATTGGAACAAGCAACATTTCAGCATAATATAAGAGTCGTACGTGCCTTCCAATCCCCTTGTTCTTTACTAAAGTTTTAGGTTAGATTTTGAATTTTTGTCCTTGGCAAAGTCTTCTCTCTCGTCCTTTCCTCTTATCTTCCCCCCACATAGTCAGCAAAGCACCTCGAGGAGTTGGATACGCTTTTTTATGACTTTGGATAGATAAAACAGCAACATAATTGTCGGTAACACACGGGAAAGATGCGGTTCTCACAAACTTCAATAATGGCAGTTAAGGTGCAGTGGTAAAGCATGGGATTCAAAAAGAGTTTACAAGATTTCGAGGTTGTTTAAGATCGTGGAATTTGGAGTGATGAAACTATAGTAACACTAGAACCAGTAAAACATAACAAGCTCGAAGAAAAGTATGTGAATGCTAGACAATAACGATTTATTTTTACTTACTTTAGCATCGGACCATAAAATCCATCTACTTCGTCGCTTTACCACTCGCCAACTCGAAGATGAGAAGCTGCATTACAAAACTGGATTTCCAAAATGGCTTCCGATGTTTCCTGTCACCGTTGGCCCGCTTAAAGTCCGGATCATATGTGACGAAGAAAACTGGAAACAATGCGATTTCGCAAGCGCATCAGAAATTTTAAAAGAGGCCTGGGCACCCCAGCTAAAACCTGAAAATTTTCGTTAGAGCACAGCCTTGCTCCCTGTAGTTATTGGAAGTCTGATACACGCACATTTTCATCGAGAGAGACAGACGTCTGGGTATGAGGCAGCTTTTGTTGAATGGAAGTCCATTTATTGAGGATATCAGTAACGCTGGAAAGCAAATTTTAGTGAACTACCCCATACTTTTAACATATATGGTGGTAATATTGAAGTAAGTTTTGTTTTGAGGAGCAAAGGAACCCTTTCGTGTAACTCATCTTCTAGTGTATTTAACAGAGCATCTCCGTCTGTCTAGCACACATTTGTTGTTGATACTTTCCAATACTTTCCAATGCCATTCATTTCCAATGCTCAACTTTCCAATGCCATTCAACATAATTCTTACTTACACCAACACATCCCGCGTAAACGCCTTCAGGCGTCTTATTTTTTCTTTTAAAAATCCGGCGGCCGAAATAATGCTATACATGTATGCTTTTCAATACACATTTAGAAATATAAAAGGACAATACTGCTAAAAGAAGAACAAGGAGAAAAGAAATAATAGAGAAATGACCTTCACAGCAGGATATTCGCGGCGGGTCACCCATCCAATTCTTAACCCCACCCGACACGGCTTAACTTGAAATGCGCTACAAAAAAAATACAAGTTCAGCGAGGGTTGATATGAGATGAGTATTACCAGTTACATAAGAAAACTGTTCAACTCCCACAGAATTGTTTTGGCACACCAATCTGGTGGATGTGATGTAGTATGAGTTCCTTTGGTGTCAAAATCGATGGGGTCGTACAAATGGAGAAAACTGCTCATATAAAAGTTCCTCGCCGAAAGGCGACTTTAACTGGGCTGCCATAATACTATACAGCCGCCCCCACCTCTCACAAAAATATCGCCCCTTCTCCAATATTAGGCCGATTTAGCAACAGGCAGGAACATCAGCTGACGACGGGAAAGCGCGCGGAAAGGACTAAACGCGACTTCCGGTGCCCAATTTGCCGCTCTACTATTGGTCAAGCCAGTTGTTTAATTTGTGCGGGCCGTCGTCAACTGACGTTCCCGTTCTGTTGCTAAATCAGCCCAATTTCTGAGGGAAGGGGGCGGCTGTACACTAGCCTGCGTCGCAGACACTCTGTATAGAGCGTCTACGAATTAGTGCACAATATCGTGTTCGAATTCCGTAGAGTCGCAAGGACATATGTCGGCGTTTTTGATTATAAGTTTCTTACGCAATTTGTGATTAGTCCGAATTAAAAGTAAGTATTGACAGGCCAAACACGACTCATAACTTGTTTCAAGAGAGAATGAGCTCGTGATATTGTGCAACGTGACCTTTGAGTCAGCTTGAACAACAGAGGTTTTTCTTCCTTTCTCTTTTATCGCATAGATTATGCAGTGCATGGATTATTCTAAACTTGGACTAAGCAAATCTGAGTCTCTTATTAAGTGCCCGAAAAACTTTATCATTGTGTCAAAAGCCTAGCTTACACGCAGTACTAAAGTCTCTTTTTTGCACTTGCTGGTAATAAATCGAATTCATTTCATAAAAGCTACGGGGCGGCGGGGGGGCGGGGGGCAGGTTGTTATAATCGGATGTATTTTTTTGCAAAACGTATTTTGATCAGCACTGCAGCTATAGTTTGCTTGGAAGCGTTTTTTAGTGTAGGCCCCTCCGCTTATAAGTCCTTTTAAAACCCCTAACGAACATATTCTCGCAACTTTAGTTAAACTAACGAAAATGAATATACTTTCGGGACCAGTGTCCCTCTAACCAAAAAAGCCCACGAGATGGGAGCTGGATTTTTTATTATACTTGGCATATTTAGTTCAAACGTAACGCTTAAACACAGTATGATTTATTGACTAGAATTCTGGTACAGAGAAGATGTACAAAACGTTCTTACATCGCTTTGATAAACAAAACAAAACAAAACAGAAAGGGCACGAGAACTAAGAGTACAGAAATTAAACTGATTTTCTAGAACTTTGCGACTGGATTTTCTAGCTTTACGTCAGTAGAAATATAATCACTTGGGTGGAAGTGCTCAATTTAAAATAATAAAAAATGAATCAAATACAAATATGAAAGAAAATAAATTAATATTAATTTATCTTCAAGGTCAATATATTAGGTTTTTTTCTCTCTCTCTGTCTGGATAATATTGTAGAACTTTGTTCGCAAAAATTTGATATTTACAATTATTTAATATGTTGTGGTTTAATTTAATCCTTGGTTGAAATTTTACCTTTTTTTGTTTTTGGGTATGGTAAATGTATCAATGAGTTTGAAACAAGGTTAATAAAAAATGAACCAAAGATAAAATTAAACCACGACAAATACGCTACAAACACGTTTTGTGCAAGTAGAATTCTGTTTCGACAACTAATAAAAACCCCACTATCAATTCAAATTTACGTATAAACTAAGGGATCCTGATCGGCTGTGACCTTATAATTTCGAGTTTGGTTTGAAAGGAAGTTTTTCTTAAGACTGTCGTTAAGTGAAGTTAACGTAACAGGGTAACAGGATACTGACTGAAGATTTATCAGCCAATCGCACTGAAAAAGAAACCTGCAACTGATACTAAGTGAACAATTGATAAGCACGTGTAAACGCACGTGAACAAATTAAGAGTAATACCCAATAGCTCCTACGACGCAAGTAAAAGCACGTGCAACACACGCAGGCGCAATGATCTACCTTTCGTTGGGCTCATTCACAGTCATATCTTCATATGATGCTTGTGCTTTTCTTTGCGTTGTATGAGTAAACCAGGCATTGAATAGCCCAATAATGGAACGACTGCCGTTAACTAACACACGTTACCTAACACTGAAAAGACAATGATAGAAAATACGTCAAGGCCTGACGTGACACCCCATGTGAACCTGATAATCGCTGAGTTTTTTTCTCTGACCAAAATTCAACAATTCATTGCATTTTAGAATCACTTGCTTTCCTCGTTACTAATGATGCCGTTAATAAACATTCGGACTATTTGAAGTTACAAGTATATCGGAAATGAGGAAACAATCTAGGTATTTTCTCATAATGTGTCTTAACTCCAAACGATTAAAATTTTCGTCCAGCGGTTTCTGGTGTATCCTTTAAAATCTTACTATAGTTTGGTGAAAGTCTGATGACCTACAGATGTACTTACTGCGCTTTTCACAAACATGCGAACTCTAAAGTTCAAAAGCCGCCTTCACAATTGCGTTTTTTGCTGCCGTCAATCATAATTACGATCACAAGCAACGAACCTTGAAACACAGAAACACACAAAACGGATCGAAATCCACCAATCACAAATCACAAACCTTGACCTTTTAAACCCGTTAAAGTAAAGTTTTGCTTCCTAAGAGGTCCGTTAAGATGATTGACGGCCGCGAAAAACGCAATCGTCAGTTGGCTTTTGAACTTCAGAATTCGCATGTTTGTGAAAAGCGCAGTAATGAACTTGGCAAATCCTTGTCCTCAACAACCTAATTTTCACTCGGTCAGGAAACCACGTTGAAATTACTTTATCTTGCCTCATCTAGAGCTGCACTGTACCAAACATGAAGGCCTGGCCTCTTTCGTGTTGATGAATCACTCCTTAATATACTACAAAATCAAAAGACGATACGCCTAGGTTGCTAGAAAGCTTAATAAGCCGCGTGTTCACCTTAAACATTAATTTGCGTTCCGGCCATATTATTTTTTCCTTCCAAGTTTCACGAACACCTAGCGATATTTTCCGCAGCAAGTTTTCAGAAACCAATGATAAAATGAGAAATTTCGCCTCCAGTAGTTTGCTACATGGACAACGTATCTCAACCAGTGGTTACTTATTTACAAATTGAACTTGCTGCCTAACATCGTAGGAGAAATGCGCCCAAAAGTGCTTGACTTTGGTGATGGGCACAGTAAATGTAAAACAGGTGACTGGAGACTAAAGTAATATACAGGTAGCACTCTTGGGAGGAGGCCTGGTTGCAGAGCCGTTGTGTGATGCAATAGAGTTCAATCTTAGACGTTCGTCCTCTACAATTTTTGCCACTTTTGAAACCGCCTGCGCGGCACCGTCACTGTTGCCATTAGCAACCGCCTGCGCAACGTCTGCAGCAGCAGCGGCTGCTTTTATGGCGGGAGTAGAATGCTTTGATTTGGAAATCTGCTGGGCTGTTGCGCCCGCGACAGCGGCCGCTACCGCACTCGCGGCCATGCGCCTGATTTGCTCGGCGACTTTTTCGTCCTCGGTTATTTTATCGGATGCCGTTTTTGAAGGCTTACGATCGGCTTCCACACTTGTTTTCGGTTTACTGGGGACAGCGTCTGTTTCCACCTCCACAGAACAGGAGTCCAGGTTCGCGTTGTTTACCTAAATCACCAAAAATGCTTTAGAAACTTGGCGCGTATAAACAAACAGAAATACACTTTGCATCAAGGGTTTTGGGAAAGTTTTAGAAATAAAGAAGGGCCTGGGGCATGAGAGCATGGGGCCTAGAGGGCCCGGCTATGACTTAGATAAATTCTGTGCTGCAATCATTACTTACTACCTTTACCTAAACACAAAGGGTAGAGTGGTGAAGAAAATATCACTGAAACAAATTTCATCGGGCAGCACTAAACATAATAACATTTTGGGTCTTTATTTGTAGGCATAGCATTAAAATTTGAAAAACAGTTTCAATGCTTACATACAGTCGTAAATAACAAAACTGGACCATTACTTTTGGGAATTCAATTGATGCAAAGACAGGTTTTACGGTTCTAAAGAGATAACAAATAGTGCGACATAGCCACTTTAAGATTCTTTACAACGGAAGCGCCAGTATCCACGTCATAACCGTCTTAACTGTAGCTGTTAAAAAAATCCACCTTGCATCTTGAAACTTGGGTTTAAACTTGGAAGTAAATTCACGATGCGGTCTTACCTGTGCCTCGTGTTCCGGAGTGCGGGGAGGTTCCGGTGGGTGTATGTCCCCGGTGCCGTACAGAGTCCCGTTACAGTAAGTGATTAGCCGACTCACTTGTCCCTGATCGTACTGGTGAGAGAGGGCACTCCCTGAACCAGCACTTAAATCCAGGCACACTCCGTGATCCTTTAACAAGGACCCCAATTCATGTCCCTCCTGTTCCCAGGTAGATTTATCAAACAGAACTGAAACGAGGGGTTTGTTGTGTGAGAGAGCAGTGTTTACATCCTGAGTGGCCCGAGTCCAGTCCAGGTACCTTAAAGTTACCAAATAACCAAAGATTAGTTGCCGATATCTTGGGTTTCTCAATCAGCATTTAGGGTGAAGTTCAAATGAAAGCTTCCAGGTATAGCCTGCGAGCAGGCTCTCCCAGGGCGCTCTGGCGGCGAGGCCAGAGCGCCCTTTCCCACCGCCGTACCCCCCGGGAGCCCCGGGAGAGCTTGCTCGCCGGCCATTCCAGGTATAATCTGCTTTTTGTTACTATGTGCAAAGTGGTTCTGCTGATATTACGGTATATCAGGAGATTCTTTGTATGTAAATACAAGAAGAAAAAGAAAAAAGCGTGGAAACATACTGCAAGCACAGTATTGACAAGCACACTGGAAATGTCTGCACGCTTATTCGGGGTACATATTCAAGTTGTTAGCTCACGGAGATCGCTTGCCATGCATGCCATTGCACCCCTTGCGCGTGTCAACCTGAATATTACCGCACTTTGTATGAACGATGACTCTTCCCTCGCGGCACCGCCTTCACATTCGCTCTCTGTGGACCTTTCTTTGTTACCCAAGGTTGTAAATTACACGGTGCAATTAGCGGCTAAGGAGTGCTAAGGGAAAACGAAGCTGAGCAGATGCACTACATGGAATACCTGTACGCGTGAAGGAATTTTATTTTGCAAGTTGAGGAGACTAAGTCCTCTTCACCAGGTTTTGACCCGGCTAATCCAACAGATTTCCCACGGATGATTTACACGATCAAATTTGACCGCTAAATAAACTAACATTAACAATCAGCTAAAAGTATACAATTTTCTAGTCAACTGACGAGAGGAAATAAATTCTGAGTGGCGTGAAATCAAAGGAAAGACTGGGCAATACCTTCAAAATTAACCCATGTCAGTTCAGTCACACAGTAAATACGGCCATTGTTTTTTTTTTTGTGTGAATTCCGGGTGCACAAACAATATTTTAAGTAATCACGACTGCGGTTTTCACGAAATACATGAAAACAAGTTCCCGAGAAATGAGAAAATTTTTAAACAAACGTTAAGAAAGTAATATTCAGTTTATAATTCATGCATTATTGGCCATGAAATTTTTTCGGAAGTTTTTCCTTCTCAGTTACAAATGCTTCCGACACAGCTGGATCTAATATTTTACAAATACAATTTTTATACCTAGACAGAGAAATAATCAAGCAGGAAGTTGTCAAGAAGTGAAATGCTGGTAGAAAATATTTTGTCACTAACATTTTTAAACAATTCTTGTTTAGATCTGAAGTCTCTCTGAAGAAATAACCGCTTTACGACAGACATAATTTCTTTAAGATCAACCCAACTCGACAGACTATGAATAGAAGATCACGAGTAGTAACACTATACCTCATTTTGATGCCACACCACGTACCTAAAAAGGAGCCGACTCCTGACCTAAACTACTTTTATGACCAACGCCAATATTTTTCCCGGTTCAGAGTTTCTTCAAAATAGGATAAATGAATGAATAAAATCGCTGTCACTACGGTTACTTGAAACAAAACAAAATCCACAGCGTTTAGTTTAATTAGTCTCTCGTTTAAAACATATCAGTTTAAAATGGCGAACTAAGTTTTAAAGTTTAGTTCACTGTTTCTTTATCATTTAACGAGGTCACGATGGCAAACAGTCGAAACAGTTAACAACGCTGTTACTTTGAATTGGCTTCACTCAAACCACTGAATAAAGGTTAATTTTTTACATTTTTTCTTTCTGAAAAACTCGAGGGTCTCGTAGCAGCTTGATGGTGAAGACACTACATGGAAATATTAAATGATATTGTCTGCTGTATGATGCTCGTTTAAATAGCAAAAGGTTTTGCTCGTAAAACATCTCATTTCCCAGAAAATAACGAAAATAATTGATCGCGTTAATCTCCTGGTAAAATTGAACAAAACTGTCAACAGAAAGGCAATAAAAGATTGATATTACATTCAAATGGGTCGCCATTTTCAATATTCTGAATATTGCATGCAGCATCCAACATCGACTTACTACAATAATGAACGCCTCATCATCGTCACACACACAGAAATGATAGTCTTAGTGTTATCAATTGACAATTCAAGATAAACAACGAAAGAAGGTTCCAATATTGGATATTTAAACTCGGCAAAAATACAAAATTTACCAGTTGAAATTGAACTAACATCGTACACGAAATACAGCGTTAAAGCCATTGTATTCAATCCGACATCAGAGAAAATCGAGATAAGGTGGTTACGGCGTGAAAATCACAGATTTCACGGACTTCACCATGGCTTGAATTAAAGAGAACAGCTCAAAATCTAATATTTCACACAGGGTTTCGCAACCGATTCAAATCAATGCACATTAAAATTACATTTTACTGCATGCATGATCAGAAAATAGGATGTGTACCTCGAGTGCTTTGTGCTTCGTATCTTCAAAGGTTTATACCTTTACAGCTTTCTATTCCTCGCAAATAAACCAAGGCAGTGTGATAGATGCGACACAAATAAGGACGGCGAAGATAACCGAATGATTTTGTGGCGACAAGTTTGTTTATTACCGTGGATACGGCAGCTCAAAACCAGAAATATAAGAACGAGCAGCTGATATTCATAACGTTTGACGTCACTTGGAGTGTCAACTGTGTTATTTCACGGGTTGTCCAATGCCGCTGATAATCGCATCTGTTTCGGTACATTTTGACTCAGTAAAAAAATAAAAACGACAAAGCAAAAAATATATGCATAAAAAAACGGCTGTATCAGCAGGTACACGAATTTTAGCAACACTCAAAAACGAAAGCAAAATAAACGAAAATTTTGCTTAATATAAAGCAATTGCAGAAAATTTAACACGTCTCAAGACTGAAAAGATGAAACACTGACGAAACCAACCGAGATACGGCTTGGTAACTAACTCCATTATGTAGCGGGATCTATAAAGTTCTTTCATTTCAGCAACGGCAAAAATCGATAAAAACAACAAATTCATTTAGTTGGTGAAACACTGGCAAAGAGTTAATACTCGTGTGCGAATCGAGAGACATGTTGGTTTCAAAGTTTTCATGCTCTGACTTCAAAAGCAGTGACAAAAGCAGTAATAAATTGGCAGGAAACCAAACTATGGGAAGCCTACGAATTGTATTACCAACCGTCAGCAACTGTAAAATTTCTAAAATTGCAAATGATGAATATTTGCTTTTGAAAAGCAAATAAATAGATATTCCTACGGCTTGTATGACACTAGGACACTGAATTTTCTGCCGGCCCGCGACAACCTGCCTAAACAGACTTTTTAAATCGCGGTTGCCGTAGCAACGTGCAAGTTACGTTTACATAAACGATCTCATTTAAAGAGGATAGTGTGAATCATCTTCAACAATTTTGTTTTATTTTACTACATCCTGTCTCTCATCCAGTTCAAAGAAGAAATAAAATTTTATAAAAAGGAATTTAAGACCAGAACTCGCGATACAGATCTTTTTTAACAGCAAACGTTTCTTGCAGTCGAAACATTATTTTTTAGAAAACCCAAAGCTCACGCCACAACCTTTGAAACTCGGAAAAATTCTCGCCTAGAACAATAAAAGTTTTTCATACAGCACATGTTGTAGCGGTTACAGCGAGACGCTGTTAGCCCTTTAAAAAATTAACATTTGAGAAATTAAAAATTTACATATTGAACTTGGTGAAAGCTGGTGATAAGCGGTACTGTACAGTACGCTTCATACGTGTCCACGCGCGGTTACTGCATCACTTTTAACTGCGTCAGTCAGTCAGTAAAATTTTACCTTTACGGCGAATAAAAGACTGCGTCGGAGAACAACTCGAAAGAAAAAATTCAACTAAAACATCCCTTTGACTCCGAAAAGCGCAGTTTAAGACGGTCGTTACTCTTGTCATTGATTCATCGATGGATTTTCCGATCTTGGCCAGTTTTTTAGCGAACCATTTTTAGTTTGTTTCGTCTGAACGGAGGTAAGAAACAATTCGACAATTTAAGGTCAAAATATAAACTTTTAGAACCATCTAAGTAACAAACAATAGATGAAAAATTGGTTCGACACCAGATTTCAGTCAGAAAACGGACGTTAGAGGGTTTCTGTAAAATAAAAAATGCTGAAAAGAACAGTAATAAGAATAAATGTACCTTTATCCAATTATGATCCTGATGAAGTATTATTCAATAAAAGCATGTTGTTCGAGTGTTCACTGTTGTCACGACTACAAACGTTTTGTCAGAGGAGGTTTAATGCACTTTTACGTGTTTACACTTCGGCCAAGAAACAATTATTTGCATAAAAATAACTGCTATTACGTCCAACAAAGAAGATGACTTAGACGACAAATTTGACAATGCTTATCTCTTTTAAAGGTCTAACAACAGCCATAAAAGCACGTACAAAATATACGCCCTCACTATAATTTTTCAGATGTGTCGATTAAAAGTTGAAAATATTTTAAGTTCAAAAGTGAACCTTAGATGTTAGGAATGCGCTGGTAAAAGTACTCTGTTTCGCCAAAAAGCATTTTTTTGCAGTCATCAGAGTTTGAATTAGTAATCATGAGAACTTTAAGTAAAGCCGACTGTTTTCTAATGCTGCCGACATGTTTTCGACGTAGTCTACCTGGGTTTCATATATTTCTTAGACAGTGGAAAGAAAAACATTCAAGAATATCTTAAATTTCAATTTTTTAAAATACTGAAGAAAAAAAAAGCGCCATCCCAAGTTAAAGTACTGCTCAGTAGCTTTCATATGAACGATGACACTCAAGGATTTCATTCAAAGACTCAAAATTTAAACCACCTTGAACAGCATAATCAACAGTACCATTGGAAAATACGTCTCAGACAGCAGCTTTCATTTAAATCGATATCTTGACCACTAAAAAGGACAGAAGTATCATCAAAAGAAATGTTTGCAAATGGCAGAGTTTTAATGACAACTGGCACGTAAAGATTTCTAAGCTTTTTTACGCATAACGCAAGAAAAACAAACTAGAATTGTTTCCTTATACCGTCTGTTTGTACACCTGCAGGACTCAAAGGACGCCTTTTTTATTATATCATGAAGAAATGTCACAGCGAAATATTCTACCCTGGGTACCTGAGGATTTTTTTTTTCTCGCTTGCGATTGGATGGTTCGGTACGAGCCCGCGCGAGAATACTTTTCACGCGCGGGTTACTATAAACAGGGGCACGCACCCTAGGAAACGACTGAAAGTTTCAAATACGTGAGAAGTCTCTCAAATGGTTTTCTGCATGCTTTTTAAAAGCCTGATAAGATAATTAACTTGGAGCTGGCCTTAAACTCATTTATCTGTTCGGACGTTTTTGGGGGGAGTTTGGCCGTCTCATTCGAAACTGTTGGCTATTACCCTGATGGTTCCGTTCGAAAGTTTCAGTACATAGAGTAGCTGAACATTCATTAGAAGATTCTAGGGGAATTTTTTCCTTTTTTCCTTTCAATTATCGCAATATCGTAGTAATAAAATGTGAAAAACCCAACCTCTGAAAATCGCAGTCAATTTAATACACAAACTCTGCGTACTCTTAGACGAGTGGAATAGTTCAGACATTTTTAGCCTTTCTTGAGCCTTAGAAATTTCTAGCCAATATTTGCTTCTCCTAGTAAGAAAAAAGTCGTTGCGTGCCCCCCGGAAGGACTTGACGAAATCTGGAAACACGCATAAAAAATTTCTGGCAACCAGGGGAAAAATATTCAATCTGAAACCAACAGCCAAGAAGCAAAGTGCATTACATACATCCAACCAATCACAGCACAGCAATGATGGTCCAATCAAAGGTGATTAACGCAAGTCCAGGGCTAGTCAACAAAACAACTCATATGTTTTATTTACAGCTACGCTGGGATTTGCCGCACTGATCTTCCTCCAAACAACTCGTTTCTGCGGTAGTAGGAGCGAGGAGAGACGACTGTATTCGCAGGCTAGATTCTGTAGGTTGAATATACCATAACTAAGTTCAATGTTTACTTACTGCGGTGTGACAAAGGCAAGGAATAGCGATGAGCCCGCGATTTGCTTGCGACGTGTTTCAATCAGTTCTGGTCCTGTTTTACCAGCTAGTGCCCAATCCCCAAGGCAGTCAAACCCGGCCAAGTCCAGAAACTGCTTCAGAAGCTTGACCTCGTGCTGTTGGTCGGGGTGATAACTAACGTATAACATGGATTTACCTAGGGAAAATATTACAAGCATGAGTCATACATAAACTAACTTTGGCATCGAGTTGTAACTCGCCTGGAAGTGATATGCGCTGCATTTGAGGATCAACAATAAGTCACAAAAAATGCAGCATGGTTCTACTTAGAAGAAATTATATCTGATAAAGGCCTGTACTTCAATTTCAAATTTAGGCTCACCTGCTAGAATACCCAGCCAGTATACCCCTAAAACAGTGCCAGTCTCTTACAAAGCCGCGTAGCCACGTAGCCACTGTTTTAGGGGTATAGCTACAAATGGCCGGGTATTGTGCAGTTACTCCCAAATTTAAAAGCATGAAAGCAAGACCAACAGAATTCCACCGAAGAAGAAACAAGTTGGAAAGGACTGGGGTTTTGCCCATAAATTAGGTAATGTTTAGAAAGACCTACTCACTCACAGTCAAACAGAGTTATCACAAAAAATGGAAACCTGCGTAAAGCGTCAATGTCACAAATTAACGCATTAGGTAAGGTAAAAATACTTACAGGCAATACCAGCCAGCCAACTGATTGTGTCTTCTGGAATTTCAATGTGTTCATCAGTATCCAAAGCTGGGAACAAAAAGGAAAAAAAAGGAACGAAAAAATAAAAAATTGATAGTGCATCTGGGAATATTGTTGTTCCTTCCCAGTCATAAAATACAGCTAACAGAGCTGCAGTCTCCTTCCAATCAATTCTCCCTTTAATTGCTAATATAGAGATCTTCAGATTCTTATAAGTAAACATCTACACAAGGTTCAAACACAGCCAGATTGTTTGTCTCACCTGCAGGCGGTATAAACCAGCAATAGTTTGTGTGATGTTTCACTTGTGAATTGTATTCACTCACTAACTCATGAAGTGGTTTGTGCTTGGGTCGGTTGCAGCCAACGATTGGCACAGTGATCTGTTGAAAGTGACAGTTAAAAAAACATTAGCCGACATAGCATTGCATAGCAGACATTGTTGAGCAACTACAAGTGACAATTATACATAGGATGATCACCCATGAACTTCTGAAAACAACACAAGGACTTTACACATGACAATAATAAAACAACTGCAAGAGGTATTGGAGTTCTACAACCGAAATGTTGATAGTTCTAATCACGGCATTAGTTCATTTTTACCTGAACTACATGTATTTGAGTAAAATATGTTTTTGTTAACGGTTTCAAATGTCCTAAACCACCTCGTCTGACTTCACACTATCTCATGGAACATTAAGCTACAGTTCAGTCAACGCTCCCTAAGGCAAACACCTTGGGACTGACACTAAGCATCTGTCTAAAGAGATGTTCATCTTACCGGAGAATCAAATAGAAGAAGTAAAGAAAGCCAGGGACCAACTCTAGCTGTCTGTCTTAGCAAGGTACCGTATTTCCTCGAATAATAGCTGTCCCTTGATTAATTGCCTCCCTTGAATAATCATTCCCCTTTGATGGAAATGCTCAAAATAATCACCTCCCTCAAATAGTCACCCCCCACCCATATAGGTTACCCACTAGGGATACCCACAGTGGTAAACTTGCAAGATGAAGCTAAAGTGGAGTTTGATCCAGCAAAACTGATCAGTGACGATTCAAGCTCTGAAACCGATGACATTGACATTGAAAATTAATCAAGGAACCAAATTTGGAACACTTTAAATGTCAATGTTCAGTATATTTGATGTGATTAGAACAAAATATTTAGGGCATGACTTCTGTTAAGCAATATTTGAAATAATCCCCTCCTTTGAGTAATCGCCCCCTTTTGGGTCAAAAAAAGAATTATTCACCCCCGGCTATTATTCAAGGAAATATTATACAGTATCTGTCTTAAAGAGGTAGCTGTTGATAGATCGCTGTTTTCCAGTCTCAGGTCCCAGATTAACACATTTTTCTCACCTCCGGACACATCCCCTTATAATTCATCAGTAAAGTTTCATTCACATGGAAATACTTGGCCAAAACGATCCATGTCATGATAAGGGCCTGCTTACTTCCGTCTGTGATCTTACACCGACCAATCACATCCAGGGTAGTATTATCACGTGATATCTTCACAGTCACAGGACCAACTTTCAAAATGGCACCAGAGTTCCAGTATGAGAGAATTTCACAGGAAGGCTTCAAGTTGGTGCATGCACCTATTAACAGTGGTGCTATACCGTCAACAGTCACGTGATCGTGGAAATTGTAACGCCATCCCACCTGGATGTGACCTTCTGGGAGGGAACTGGGCCATACAGTTTCATCCTAACGTAAAACACATTATATGCATGCTATTTAGGCAAGACTTTCAACTGGTGTATTACAAAATATCCAACAAGACTTCTTTGTATGCACACACATCTTAATGGGAGGCAAGTCCGTACCTACATCTGTAATTCTTTAGAAAGCAAAGCACATTTCAAGATACACTTAATAAAAAAGCTTCCTTAGCTTTTCCTTAGCTATCCACATCCCTGCCTAACCTTAACTATTAATTAGAGGAAGGAGTCAAAAGAAACTGAATAAAATGATTAGAGCTACAGAAGACAAACAAAAAATCATTTTAACCTAAAGATTGTTTTGAACTTCAACACTTTTTTACAAAAGTAATCATTCACATTTGCCTGACAAAAACAAGAAGTTGTTAGTTTTTAGAATAGGTAAAAATCTAAAGGTATGAACAATTTTTTTCTTCAGCCTTATTCAGAGTACTATTCTTTCTAACAAATTAAATTCTAAAATTAAATTGATTCAGTCTAATCACCTTTGGATCTGTAGGTAGCTTGGGCATGAGCGGGAGGTAGTACCTTTTGAACACTGAACAAGTTTTGTACTGCGACATCACTAGTTCAACATCATAGTTCCCCTTCGGAGCACCTTCCACCAGGAAACCCAGGCTTCTGAACAAACTGATCACATTCTGTAGCTCTGCTTCATCAAGAAGTGTGGGAATCTAATGATGAATCAATGCCGTGTTTAACTCACAGTGATTTGTCTTCAAGGAAAATTTACCAACTGGTGAGCTTTTTGGCAGCATGAAAAGCAGGTTATTTACTACATTTCAAAAGGAAGATGACGGAAAACAAGGTGAGAAAAAAATTCTAACAAATTTTACCTGAAAACATAGTGGCACAACAGACTCTCGCACGAATCCTTTGCTCACAATGTCATCAATGGCTGCTCTCAAAGTCCATTCATTGGGTTTTGCACCTGTGGGCCAGAACCTCTCCACTTTACCAGCCTTAACAAACTGAGGGACATATTCACGGGGATCTGTCTCACAAAGGACCCCTGCTATGCAGTTCAAGAGAGCACTAGGGTTCACACAAACAGTCCTGGAAGGGCCTTGGTTCTGGTAAGATGTGGGAATGTTAAAGACCACAATACAACCCTGCAAAAGCCACACATTATGAACAATATTATCAATACTTAAAGCAAGCATATTTCTGGAACTGCACATGTCAGTAAAGTGTGAATTTCATTTTGCTAATGAGCATGGGTCTCAATAACCACTGCATGACAACCAAGGAAACATGTCTTCTACAGTGAGTTACTTTGCCCAGAGAAGTCAGCTATTTTTCCTGAAAGAAGAGGCAACTAGTTTTACAAGTTGCAAAAAAGAAAAAATTTCACAAAATCCGGCCCAAAAAATACCCACTGGATTTGTGATGCTTTAGTTACATGAACTCTATTTCAGTCAATTTGTCACCATTTTTATAGGTTTACACAAAATTTGTTCACATCCAAATGTACATAATTTAATTAATGTCATTTGTTCATTGAACCTTAAATGAAAGCAACATTTTCTTTAATGAAATACAGTCATGTTCTTTTTTAAACCATTTAGTCCCTAGATAGCTAGAATCAAATTTTTCTGAACCCCCTAGGGAAAGGATACTTACATCCCCTTATTGATACAAGCGGTTACTTTAACCTGCTAGCTACTTCAGTTTTTATTGAAACTCCTGAATGGGAATTAGATGAGAGCAACTCAGGTGTTAACCTTACCTTACACTCTAAAACTGCTGTTGCTTTCATAACAGCATCATCTGTAATTCCTGCATCTGATGCCAATCCTACGTACTGATCCCAAGACAACAGCATTGTATTGTTCTCACGTAACAGCAGGATTTCACAATGAAGGTATATTATAGCTTGGCTAATGTCTTCTGTTAAGTGAGGGAATAATGTTGAATCCATTAACGTTTGAGTGACAGTATGTTGCAGCTCCGTCATACCCTGCAAAGGAGAAAAAATAGTAAGTAGCTGGAATATGATCATCTGTGCGCCAGGTGAGTGTAGTCCTGAATATAGGACTCAAGTCATTGACAATAACTGACTTTTCCACAAGTTGTGATGGTATAGTCATCTTCAGTGTCAAGTGAGTTGTATCATGACAGTAAATGTTATTAAACTCTGGTTATCATGACATATTGTCAATTTTAACTTAAAAGTTGCGATGTTATGGTTGTCTGTTAGTTAAGCTGTGATGTTATCGACTATGATGTCTCTAAATGTGAGAGAAAAAAAGTAGTATGAGTGTTATTTAAAATAGCTAACTAAAAAGGCAAAAAGTGGGAATGGAACAAAGATCAGTTTCAGTTCAGTTTCAATTTCAAAAGTGCCAGAAAAAATATACAGTCGACACTCTCCACAACGGTCACCAGTTGCGGACAGAAGAAAGTGGAGGTTGCGGAGAGGTGGCTGTTATGGGGAGCTAGGGGGATAATTTGACAATTTTTTGAAGGGTACATAACATGTTTCTTGTGCTAAGTTTGTGCTTACTGTATTATCTCATAATGGTAATCAATCATAAATAAGACTTGTATAGAGATAAAATACACAAAAAACTTGACTGTTTAAAATGTTTTGAATCAAAATGTAAACAGGACAAAACGAGAAAGGTTCACAACATTCGCCATAAGTATTGAAATAATTTATGCTCACTGCAGCAGTATAAATGGTACACAATCAAAATAATTATGATTCCTGCGATTAACAATCAACACGCCATATGATCAAATTTCATGTCCATTATTGACTTTTTCATCAGTTGCTGAAAAAACTGGCCATTTTTGAGAGGTGATTTTGGCATTTGGGGATGAGCTTTAGTGGCCGTTGTCATTGTATGCGTAGAGAGGTTTAAACAAGAGACAATTATGTATGAACTGCCTACCAAGAAAAGCGATAGTTCAAGGTGAAAAGTGATGTAAGTTGCATGAGTGGAAGAATCAGAGGTATTTTTCTGACGAGGGAGTGTAGCCCTGGGCCCAGTTGTTCGAAGGCCGATTAGCGCTTAACCCAGGGTTAAATTTAACCCGGCTTTCTTTTTCTTTCTTCAGAAGCATTTTCTTGGATAATTTTCTCTGTTATTTTTAAGAGTATGCAATCGCTAACCTGTTGATGGGAAGAATAAAACTGAATTTGCTTTTTAAGCTTTCAAACCTGAATTCAAATTTTGCACTAACCCCGGGTTATCTTAACCCAACTTTGAACAACCCGGCCCTGGCTTATTACATGAGCTCCCACCTAACCTAAGACAATAAATATAACAAACATGGGGCAAAATCATGTTGAAATGCAAGTTAGGATAAAAAGCAAGCAAAACAAAACACACTAAAGAGACAAAAAGCAGCAAAAAAACAAGTATTCTTTACAAGCGGAGAATCAGCTAAGGAGTTGTAATAATAATTATTGTTTTCAATCTAGATTTAAAAAGAGAGATACCAGCAGCAGCACTTTATATACTGCATGTTGTGATTTAGTGAATGAAAAATTTTGCACCCTGAAATCTTATACCAAAAAGTCTAAGTTTGTTCCTGCAGGAAATAAGTAGATTTTATTTGAAATGCTGGTATTATAGGGGTGAACTAGAATACTTTAGCAAGCAGGCCTATCTTCAGACAAGACTGAGCTCCAGCAGTGCCCGGTGCAGGCCACTGGCCCAAAACTTTTTCACAAAGGAGACTTGAAAAGATGATGTTTTTCAAAGAAAACCCTTTGCTGGTCACCCAGTGGATTTCACAAGTGGTTCTACATGGCTCAGCAACACGTTCATAATTGTTAAAAGAAACTATTAATAGTGAAGAAATCAATGGATTAAGTTACCTTTCCTTTCAGAGTGCTTACAAAGTGCACTTGCTGTGGCAAGCTGGACCAGTGTTTTACCAGGTTCTCTAGTGTGTTGATTCTTAATTCTATGCATTTGTCTTGCCACAAACCTCTGGTGGAAGACAAGTCATATTGATTGCAGAAATTACTTAACACAATATCAATGAGAAGTACCTAAGTAATAAAATCATATGATTTTTATTACTAACATAAATGTTCTATTGACGTCGTAAAAGTTTTGATTACCTTATTCACTGAAGTGTCAGTTCATGAAATTGCAAAAATTTAGTGACTTATGTTCCAAAACTTGAGAAAAACCCCTAAATCAAAGTGCCGCTAAATAAAGATTTTTCAAATTCGCTAAATTAACCTGTTGCTATAAGATAATTAAAATATTTCCCATAGGTCAGGCTTACGTTGTATGTTAACAAGATCATGTAATGTCGAACAAACAGGGAATTAAAATGAGAAAGATTGATCACTGATTGTCCTTTCCAGTCATCCTACCTCAACATGTTTATTTCAGTTTGGATTTCCTGTCTCTGATTTGAATCAGCTTTTTTAAGTGCCCCAAGAACCTCATTTCCAAGTGGACTCCAGTCATCAGCATTGTCAGCATGTGTTCCTACTACAACAAATGGAGAAGCAGGTGCCTGGAAAATATATCAGCACAATGTTAATAGTGTTTTGAAGTATATAAAATGGCATAACCTAGGTTCTTAATTTAGAGGTAACCTTTAGTGAGGAGAATGTCATCTTCCTCATTTAAAAGTCGTTTTGTTGTCACCATTGCCTTTATTAAGTAAATTTAAAGAAAACCAAAAGCAAGTAAAATGATATCTTTATTCCTAATTATTCCAAGCATTCCGCTCCACTTGACCTTGGAAATGACTGTTTGGAATATACATACATTTTCTTATTCCAGAACTGGAAAAGCAGGTCAATCAAACAATCATGTTCAGGATTATTCTGCATATATCCTATTCCAGAATTAAGTCAATACAAATTCCTGAGTTCATGCTCTAATTTGCTTTTTCTCTGAAAGATGTCATAGTGGTGAAATTGTCACGTGGGGCAGTGGAAGGGTAGGGGGACATAGGGTGCAGCACAGCGATAGAGCAGGATAATTGGATATGGTGTGGGACAGGGCAGTGGCATGGGGTAGGAGAATGGGTGGTGGTGAGGGATAATGGAACACGGCAGTATGTGGAGCAACGGGATAGGGCAATAGAAAAAGGTCAGTAAGAGCCTTCACTGCTGGGAAAGAGCAGCAGGATAGCCCAGTGGAAAGAAAAAGTTACAAAGTGTTCTAAGATAAAGCAGTGGCAGAGGCACAAGGCATGGGTGTTAGAACAGAGCACTGAGTAGGAAGGTAATAGGATTAAGGGGTAGGAAGGTCATCAAGACAGCACAGTAGCACAGCCATAGTATGAAGTAAGAGGCGCAGAAAAGGTCATTTACAATGTATGGAAATATGTCAAGGCTGTGCTCTAGCAGTGCTCAGTGCAGGGCCCTAGCACCTAACTTTTGTTACCAGGCAACCAGAAATCTTACCTTTTCTCATAGAAATCCTATACTGGACTCCCTGGAATTCACAGGCTTAGAGAACTGGAATCCCTTTAATTTTTCTGACAGCACAGCCTTGTATGTTTTTAGTTTTTATCAAATGAGCTGCTGGATTACCAACCCAAACTGTCTGAGTGTTTAAAATAAAGCCTTTATTTAAATTTGTACATAATTTGAGTCACTTGCCTTTGACCTCATAAGAAGCATCCATCGTAAGACCGACTCAATCTTGAATGGATCATGGACATCAAATACAATGACATACACTGAATGTTCACTCAAGAACAATGGATGGACACCCTGAAGGCACTGCAAAAAAAATGATAAGAAAACTTTCCTGAATTCTACTTACAGTACTACAATACTGGTTCCTTCACATCAGTCCAAGCAGTCTACTATCAATAACTACAAGTCTATTAGAAAGTCTTCCACAATATTATCAGTTAGGATTAATATTTCATTTAAATATTTGAACTGGATCAAAAAAGGACTTACTGCTCTTCCTCCACAGTCCCACATCTCAACTGTAAGTGACAGCATCTTTTCATTCACATCTGTTCCAAGGTCAATAGACTCTAAATTTTTAAAAAATAAATGAGTGCTTAAAGTGGGTAAGAATGATACAATTTTTGATAAAACTATGTTCTCTGGCACTCAAGGAGGGTACAGTAAGGTCAGACATAACACAGCTGTCCTACAGTGAGTGGAATCTCAACCCATTCTCTAGAGTATGAAGGAACTAGGAGAGACAATGCTATTCCTTGCTAAACAAGCTCATTACACAGCGAAGAACAAAATTGTGGCAGTGATACCCATTTAATATACAATACCCATCATATTTACACAAGCTCATTACACAGTGAGAGACAAAATTGTGCCAGTGATACGCAATTAATATACAATATTTTTTATTGCAGGGATCAAATACTTGTCCACCCTTTAGGATGAATTATTCCACTGCATATTACACCACTACACAGTTGCGCAGATTCTATTGAAAACTTTCAATTCAGCATAAAAGAGAATAAAATATCTTACTGAATGGTTTAGTGTGTTGTGGGATATTTTTCAATTCACACTGTATTTTGGTGAGCCCATATAACAAAAATGCATGACAGACTAACGTGACTCCTTTGTAGCTTTCATGTGTGGGGTGCAACATCATTGCTGATTGGTCAGAAAGGAAAACTTGTCAAACTGGTTTACTCAGTAAATAAATTTTTTTGGTTATCATCAGCGCTTTGAGGTTCTACCTTTCATGTCTTGCCAGTAAAACAGAGACAGAATGACAAATAAATTGTGAGGCTTATCATGGTTTCTACTAAGTAGAAAAAAATGAGCAGAACAAATTGCAATGCAAAGAAGAAAAATCTCCCAATTCAAGGAGCTTTACAGAGCTACTTGTAAACAAAGGACTTGAAGCCTCAACTTCACTGGGATTAATCCTCTCAAAAAGTCTTTAGAGAGCTTTTAGAGTCTACCACCTTGAGTTTCCTCAAACTTTGCTTATAAAGCCAAACTAGAAGTGATTTAAAGTGATCAGTTCCTCTGCAGGGACTGTACAGTATTTATGGATGTTGTTTACTTCAGGTCTGCTTTCATCTTCTCACTTGTATTTGTATAAGTTGTTATTCTGCCATACACGTGAGGTGTCTTAAAAACAAAGACCCCTAGCTAAGTCTTAGGGGTCTTAGGGGTCTTTGTTTTCAAGACACCCCATACATGTGAGATGTTTGAAGAAAACCAGTCAAAACCAGTCCTCTGAGGTACAAATACCATGAGATATTTGTACTCATTTTGAGTGTTATTTGTGCTCTACTGCTTGAATTTAATATTGGATTAGTCACCCTCATATTAATTGGCACTATATTATTTTGATGGTTATCCCATGCTGTAAAGTGAGGCTTACCTTTCCCACTCTTGAATGGTTTCCAGGAAGACACATGTACCCCTTCAGTTGATGTGTCTGCAATAGATTGAACCATTGTGGGAAGGCTTGACATTAAACTTGTTTTTCCACTACCTTGATTACCGAGGAAAGTCATTCGGCATAAAGACTGCAGGTTGCATTTCTTGAGAAATTCACGACAAGATTCAAGTCCTTTGGTAACAGTCTGTAATGGAGGGAGCCTGAGTGATGTGCAACCGTTTAATTTCAGTTCCTGAAGTGATGGATGATCCAATATTTCAAAAGGTAAGTGCTTTATTGCACATTGTGACATGTCAACATATGTCAAATTACTACAGTTCTTTATCAAAGCCCATAACGACTTTTCAGTCAAGTTAATGCACCATCCAAGTTCTACTCTTTTCAAAAAAGAACAGTTTGATGAAAGAGCAACAATTGAATCATCAGAAATATCTTGACAGCCACTAAGGTTAATAGATTGAAGCATCTTGCATTTTGAGCAAAATATTTGAACACCTTCATCAGTGAGCTTACAGTGACTAAATGACACATCTGTTAAATTTGAACATACATCATTCAATCCTTCAACTGTGTTATCATTAACAGCAGAAAGTTCACTAACATCCAGAGACTTTAGATTTGATGAAACGTGAGCTAAGAACTGTTTTAAACCAGTTGATGTTATATCTTCAAAGCCACAAAGAGCAAAGTGCTCGAGTTGCAAGTCTGTTCTCTCAAGAAATAAAGCAAAAATATCATCATTAAGAAGCCAGCTTTTGTTGTTACTATCATTATCATCCTTGTTGTCATCTTCATCCACTACCAAGTCATCACAATCAGTTGACATTATTGTTACATGTTTCAGACTCTTGCAGTTCTTCACAAATAAAGATATTCCTGTGGCTGAAAGCATCCCACAGTTCCCAGTAAACGAAATGCTTGTGAGTTTTGAGCAGTGCTCTGATATCCTGCCAGCAAAATCATCATCAAATGATTGACAGTTATGAACAGACAGAACATCAAGATCTGGGTTTATATGTTCCAAAAGAACTTGCAGATCACTTGATGAAACAGCATTGCAGTGTCTCAGTACCAGTTTGGTAACAGATTGCTCTTGCTGCAGTTTTTCCTGAGAGAGATTAAAAAAACACATCAACAAATTATATATATATATATGACATAAATGATATGTTACGAAAATTCACAAATTTATTCAGTTTTACATTTTTTTCAGTGTGGCTCAATACATCTGTGATTTCCATTAAAAAAAACATCTTTACAACACTGTTTTTAAAGGACACTGTAATTATTCATACAAAACATTTTTGCTCTGTGTTCACTTCCTTCATGTTTACAATTTTTCAAGCCTCGATACATTATACAAAAACTGAAAAATTCCTTCTCCTACCAACACTGTAACTTTACTCCTAAAGATCTGTAATTTTTCAAATCAATTACTTCCATTCCAAGGAGGTTTAAAAAAATGGAATTCCACTGTACACGTTAAAGAAAGGTAGCAAAGACTTTTTGAAAAAACATGCTTAATCAAAAAACTTTTTGCAGTTGAACAGCCTCTTAGCCATTGTTGAGCTACTTGTCCTTTCTTGAAAACTTAAGGTTCATTTTTGGGCAAACTCCGCCTTTTTTCTTGAGAATGGGAAACTGCTAGTTCTGTCCTCTCGCTCTATCAGAAGTTTCACAGGACATATGACACTATTGAAGTGAAAGCACTGTACAGATGTTTAAACTTGAAAATAACATTCTTTAAAAGCAAAACCAAAAAACTCAACAATAAATCAATTAAAGTAATACTATTCACTGCTGATGTAATATTTATTAAATGCTTTTCATGGTGTTTTGCTCACATTTTGCACTTTGTAAAGCACACCATAAGGCAACAAAGAAAAGCAAACAAAGCAAACACATTTGTCAAGTTGCAGAGATTTTTAGAGGATACTATTATTTCACAAATAAACATTTAATTAGTTTAGTTTACGGAGAGTGACAGCTCGCAGCAATTTTCAACAAACGTTTTGATCACTTTAGACTCTTTAAACGCAATCTACGGCGCAAAAAAACACTTGGGCTTCTAGACCTGTCAAATGTTGTGGGTCGTGAAAGACAGATTCAATGGAGAGATAAAAAGAACGTATTTCAATTTCAACATTAGATAGAAAGAAATGTTAGATAGAAGAGTGACGTTGAAATTAAAACTCTCTGAAATTCACATCAAATACGGACGATTTACGTGTTTTGACAACCAAAAACATAACCCTGGTGACAGTGTAAACATTTACCATAGCAATAAAGTGACAAGTCGAAAAACACAATACAGACTAAGGAGAGAATAATTATTAGCGTGGCTAGGCTACATTGTAGCTCCCGAGCGTAACGTTATCATTTTATCATCAACCTAATCTAAAACTTGACCTCTTTTGTATGAAGAAAAATAATCGAAGCTTTACAACAACCTAAGAACAAGTCTGCTTGCACAAAACTAATCCGCGCGCTTTTACTTCGAGCATAAAGTCAAACCTCTGAACATAATTTTTTGAAGAAATCATTTATAACCACCTCGCTCTTTTAAAGTAAAACCCAATTTTTGCTACAAATTTTTGGAACCGAATTTGGAGTTGTCTTAATTCAGTTAAATAAGCTACCGATCGGGATAGGGTTAGCCATAAGTAACACACGGGCTTAACAACTGAGGGAGGCCGCACTTTCACGTAGGTACGTCGATCGCAACATGTGATGAAAAACATGTACTGTTAACGTTCCAGTTCAGTTAAGATGACCTTAAAGAAGTGATGACTATCATACACGTTTTCCACGATACACAAGCTTCTTTTGAAGGCATATAAATACCGTATAACGATGGCAGAGAGGTCAAACAGTCGAAGCAATTAATACAATATCGGGAATCGAAGAAAACCGGTCCAGCATTTCGCAATCAAGCAAAACAAAGCGCGCGGGCGCTAAAAAAAACCAGCGAGCTGTCCAGTAAGATTAAAACTAACTTTAGAAGAATTTCTAACAGAGATGTTTTCAAAGATTTTAATTTTGTCGCAGCGATAAAATATTATCGCCCAGCTAATGAGGTTTTGTATATGAAGCGGTTTAGTTTCAATTTCAAAGAGGGAGTAGAACACAACAAACCTTTATCCCTTCCAAAGTCGCATCTTGCTCGAAAACAAGAGTGCTTGAGGCCATGAAATCGTTAATAAATCCACCAGAATTGTTCCCAAATCTTGAAAAATCTGCTGGCGCAAGCCAATCGATTGTACATTGTCAAGTTGTAATTTGCGGACATCGTTTAGGTTTCCATAGAGTTGAACGAAGCCTCTCAAGTCCAGCTGTTGTTAGTGATCATGCGCGCGCAGTTCAATTCACAACAAAACCGTCAGGGAGGGAGTAAGGAGGTTGTCTGCAGGATGGAGCATCGTTGATCACATAGTGGGTGCGAGGGAAAGTCATAACGGGCAGAAGAACAGTAAAGAATGGGGAGAAGAGCCCCTGACAAATGTTTTCTGGCGCCAATAAGAAGCCAGAAAGGACGCGGCCATTTGGAACCAACTATTCTGGTAAGAGCTCTTCTCCCCGTTCTTTTCTTTGAGCATTTTTTCTGCCAGTTTAGAGTCCTTCGCCCCCACTATCTGCCCCTGGGAATAATTATAAACCGGTACCGGTCCGGTATATAGCAAACTACGCAAAAAAAAGTCGTTCAAAATTTTGAAGTTAAATTTGCCCGTAAAAAAGAAATTAAAGACGGTTCCTCTGAAAACTTTATCTTTGAATCGGACTTGAATATAAGAAGAATATTTTTCTTCTAGGAAGGGTAGTGCAAGCGGAAGATCTCCTACCGCGCGCGTGACGCGATTCGGTCGATTCGCGTTTTTCGCGGGATCCGTTTGCAGTCTCTCGCACATTCCCAGTGCAGACTTTTCACCTAACCAACTTACTTTTACTAGTATTGTAGCTTTTTTCTTGTCAGCAGCAGCCTTTTTACCGTTTTTACTCATTTCTACCACTTATTTTTCACTTTGCTCGGTTTCCTTTGTTCTTATTAGGGGAATCCCTGATCATGATAAAATCACCATCTGAAAAGTTAGTATCGACAGGGGGGGGGGGGGGTTGCGGGGCTACAAAAGTAAAAAAACAATGCAAAATATATTTCCCCTACTCATAAAATTCCCCTCCTCATATTACCCTACTCATCTTCCCTGAAGAACTCAGGTTCAAGTCAAAATTTTAAAAATTAACAAATTTTCTTAGACCGTCCCGTTTGCTTTTTAAAAATTTTACATTACCCAATTGCCTTAAAACAATATCTAAACTACAAAAAAAAAAAAAGAGGAAAGGATAACTTGTACAAGGAAATTCAAAAAGTTTTTAAAATAGTAAAAAACGTGTGAATTAAATAGGGAAAAAAAAAAAGAAAAAAAGAAACAAAATATCAAACATAAAAAAAAAAAACTCTAAAAAAAACTAAAATAAAATTTAAAAAAATTTTGACCAAAACCTTTTTTTTTTCCTTTTTTTTTTTTTTTTTTGTTTTTTTTTTTTTTTTTTTAGGGGGGAAATCCAATAAAAAAAAAAAACCCACAAAAGAAAGGTGGGGGGGGGGGGGGGGGGGGGGGGTTGCGGGGCTACAACAGTAACAAAGCAATGCAACATATATTTCCCCTACTCATATAATTCCCCTCATCATATTACCCTACTCATCTTCCCTGAAGAACTCAGGTTCAAGTCAGAATTTTGAAAATTAACAAATTTTCTTAGACCGTCTCGTTTGCTTTGTCAAAATTTGTCATAGCACAATGTCCTTAAAACAAGAAATTCATGTTACAGGTTCTGTAAAAGAAGTCCCTCATCGCTATTAGGAGAAGGTTTTCTTTGTTTTAGGGCCCGGTCATTATTTATGTAGAGGGGGGATGGAAAAAACATAGATATATTACTTGATCAAAACCCTTCCCTGCATAACTCGTTTGATGCCCAAAACTGACGTCTACAAGTCATCCTATTCGGTGTCTAGTATTGTAGCGCCGGGAACATTGACATGCTGTCAACTGAAGGATGTTTTACATTCAAAAAGGGAAGGTCTATTACAGCAAACAGTTGATTATAAAGAGTACGCATTAGCGGGGTTGGTTTTCTATGAAAATTCGTTGATTGGGCAAGAAATAAGTGTCCGTTTTCCGCATTAACGGGTGTCCGTATTCTGAAACGGGTTGAATTTAGAAAAAATGTACGGGCTTTCCCTAGGGACAAAGAAAACTGTCCGTAATAACGCCGTGTCCGTATTAAGCGGGTGTCCGCAAAGCGGGGTTCGACTGTACAATGAAGATATGATCGTCGCAGTCATGGTAATTGCAATTTTTGAGTTGATTTGCAATTGCTTTAAAAATTGCAATTACCATTGCGAAGATCGTATTGTCATTTAAATTGTATTTCCGCAGTTCACATCATCTTCACTCTCTGTTTCATTCTTTTCACGGGTTAAGATGAACTCCTCCCAATGTTTGGGTCTTCATAGCTCAGTTGGTAGAGCATTGCAGCGGCAACGCAGACACCATGGGTTGGAATACCGTTGAAGATCCGAAATTTTTCACGGGATAATTGGCGAAAGCTTAACTTGCAATTATGAGTGCGACGATCATATCTTCATTAAAAAAGTATTTCCCTTGATCAAAATTTACCGCAGTAACTCGAATTCTGGTGCTTTGACCATGGACGCTTTCCCTTTAGCCCTTCTTGTCATGCAATTGCTAAAAAACTCTAAAACTTACACTAAAGCAATTTGATTTTAATTAGTAGTCCAAAGAACACATCAAATATTTGACAGTCATTTCACGATCTTATGAGTCACACTAGATCATCACAGTAAGAATATAATGCATAATTCTGTTACAGTTTCTGATGAGATAAGTTTAAATTGCATTGTACTGTATGCTGAAGTGCTGAAAAATCATTCAACTGTCGAGTACTAGATAACTCAAACCCTCGCTAACTCAAAATGTTTTTTGTTTCCCTTCAGAGTTTGACTACCAGGCTTCTACTGTAGTTAGTAAATGTAAGATCACATGACTTCTCTTCACAACAGGCCATCTGCCAATTACATGTACGTATGTGGTCTTGCTATACTATCTCTGAGAGAAGAGACTACTGCTAACTTCTATAATATTCAATTCAAGATATGGCCATCAGCCCCCAAGTTTACGTAAGTATAATGTTAAATATTCTTTTGAAAGTACCAAACTACAGTAAAAATATTTTTGTTGCAAGAACAATCAATGACTAGGTTTAATTTTAAATGTAAAATGTCAAAGATATTCTTTTGGAAAATAAAAGTCTGTAGACAGTTTAAACAATGTTACGTTTTCCATAAAACAATGCCATACAAGAGCTTAAAAATAAATCAAGGAGCTCACACGATTTAAGTTCTAATAAAAACAAATTAATATTAGGGCTAATAGTATGTTGCTTGACCCTCTGATGGATGTGATTTGTTGAATATCCTCAAAAAGTAAAGTTTTTATTCTCTTATGGCTGTTTACTGTGCTATGTTGTCATCTCACTGTCTTGGTATCTCCATGACAATGCCTCTCCTTGTTCAGTCTCGTTGACTCCGCTATGTTCCTCATCAGGTTCTTCCTCCATGAAGTAAGTGTCCAAAAGCTCATTAGCATACTGGGCAACATTTTCGTTATCGCTGTATTCTAGTGCCTCTAAACATGCCACACCCTCAGCAACCTCAAACATTTCTTTTGAAGCTGGAAAGTTTCTCAGTGCCATCTCAATAAACTGAAGACCGGTGATAATGGTATCTGGGTCAGGAGATTTAATAATGTTGATAAAGGAATTCATAGCTCCAAGGTCAAGAACATTTTTCACATACATTGGTCCATGATGTGCAACATTACACAAGCAGATACAGGCCTGTTTTATACACAAAAAAATGAACAGGTTAGAATAACTCCAGACCCTCTAGACCGCACAACAGTGTCCTTGTTGCATCAACCTTTTAGTTTTTATATTGCATAACCAACTCGAGATAAATTGGGGAAATTCTTGAAGACGTTCATATAAGAGAGGGCTAGTAAGCCTTTGGAACTGTAATGATTCCTAAAGTGTGACCATTTAAATGAAAGCTACTGAGCCGTAATTTCTCGTTGTAGAAGTACGTGTATTATCTTGTACGAGGTGACTGAGTAACTTTTGAGTCTGTGGATGATGATCCTAAAGTGTCACCATTCAAATTAAAGCTATAGAGCATTACTCTCCTGTTGTATTGTGTATTATGCTGTGTAGGGTTTGGGAAAGGGTGTAACTTAGAGTGACAAAGCCGGATCTATGCTAAGCTGCTTCACTGCTACACCTTCAAAAACTCATCAATAATTCATGAGCTCAACAACCTATCACGTCTGTTAAAATCCATCACGTGCTCATGTTTTAAACCCCAGTAAAACACTGTTAAACTTTACAAATTTCATCCTCATTAGTATTATTTATATAAAAAATACTAATAAGGATGACATGCACATGATCTATGAATATTAATTATCAGCACAGCAACTGACACAACAAAATTTGGTGGGTGAATATTTAATGTTCTTTCAAAAGAAAAGACGCAGTAAATTTACTATTGCAAAAAGTTAAACTTTGTGCTTTCACCAATTTCATCAGCCAAAAGTTCAGTGACACAGCGGTAATATTGGCTATAGATGGTTTTCACAGTGACGTCATCAAATTGTAAAGTCAAAATAGCAAGGTTTTATGAATTCTTATTTACACTAGCTTGAAGATAAACAAAAAGTAAATTTTGTACTAGTTTCCAATCCTGTAGCATGTTTCATTTCAAAAATACCGCAATTTGAACTTTCGAGTTTTCACAGTGCATGACACCAAAATAGGAATGCTATCTCGTTGAAATGGTACACCAATATGGCATCTCCATACAAAGCTCTACAAAAGTGTGTGAAACGTTTTGCCTAATAACTCAGAAACTGTGGGCCACAAAGACCTGAGACTTGGACAAATTGTTTATATAATTTTATTAGTCTTTTATAACATTTCATTTTCTAGGCTTCTTCCACTGGATGGTTTCCAATTTATTTTTTTGTTGCATGACAGTGAAAACAATCTATAGCAGTGTCCAAACATTGCACTTAAGACTTGCCAGTTGTGAATACGCAACGCTCGAGTACTGGATTTTTGTTTACCTACCATTCAGCCATTTCAGAAAAATTTTTTCAAAGAATATTTTTTCAGTGGAATAGTTGACTTTGGGGTACCATTTTCAATTAACTTCCTCTCTTCCTTGGCATTTTTAGGCTTCCGCTTCCGTGTCGTTCGTAGACTGGAAAATTTCTAAACATGTGTGAGATTTGATTTTCTTACATAATAATTTCATAAGTAATGTTCTTTTCATATCCTAATTTCCATCATTCACAAAAGCCTCATTATTGTAAAATACATTGAGACACGCTTTTCCAGGATGTTTTTGAAGTCGTTCAATAAACTCGCGGTTCAGGTTTGATTGAGTATAGAACCACTTGGTTTCGCCTCATGGCTTTATACCCCGATAAAACCCTCCCGCTCCTTTATTAAACATTACATAACTAACCTTTTCCAGAATTTAAGTTTGTGGATGAAGAAGTTACTGTAGTTTCTAAAGAAACTACAGTACTGTGTGGTGGGGAAGTGAAACACAAAATTGGGATGGTTTCGCTCTGAAGACGAGCCAGCATTTTAACATCAGCTTTCAATATTTTGATTGTGATAATTAATCAACCGAGAGGACAATACCAAATTTTCATGCCCGACTTTTTGGAGACGAAAAGCAAGTACTGAGAGCCTATAGCCTACACCACAACAAAATCAAAGAAAATTAAGAAAAAAACTATAGATGGAATCTATACCTCATACCTCTTTTTTGATGTCAAAAGTTGATGACATTAAATTCACAACAAGAGGTAGTGTTCCAGCTTGAATGAAGGCATCAATGTGTTCTGTAGGTCCGGCAGTCAGATTGGACAATACCCATAAACTCTCTTTCTTTATATGTCGATGTGTGGACTCCAGAAATGATGTCATTGCAATGACCAGCTCACCACTTTGCATTGCTTGAGTCCCGTACTCATCAGGGCCACTGGCTATGTTCCCTGATAAAAATTTTTTCAAAATAAATGGAAGACAGCTTATTGAGTTTTTTGGGGTTAGATAAGACACTTCACTTCAAATCATCACTTTACACACAGTTTACACTGTGGTTCGATCAGCATGCACACACTTCTAGGATACGCTGTTTGAAAGACTTGACTCACCCTGCAAAAAACACACACATGCACACACCCTAGAGAGCTGTAAGTCATTACATACTAGTGCTGTTAACTAACCTAAGCTTCGCAGCATTGGTGTCACTGCTTGAGGGTTATGGGGCGTCTCTTGTGCTAGAGAACCCAGAAACTGAACAAGAATGGGAATAACACCCCCTGATACAAACACTGCCACACACTGGGGTTTAGATGTCAAGTATGACAGCACCCAAGCAACCTCGGAAGCCACATCCACAGAGCTGGTCCCTGGTGTAAGAAGGCTGATGACAGAAGGTGCTATGCCTGCTTGTATCATCTCTTCTGCGACAACTTGCTCTCCTCGGGCCAGATTTGAAAGGGCGAATGCTGCTGACTGTACAACTGTTGAAATTGGGCACTGAACAAACAAACAAACAAGATAAGCACATGTTACTCCACATTAAGATATTTTGATGAAAGTTTTCCAGTCCACTGTTTCTTTTCTGACTCAACAGAGCTTTAAACTTAAGATCACTACAACAAATGCACAGTTTTTGGATCTAGCTTTAATGAATAACACTCGCTATCTTGATTCATTTTGGCTACAGGTAATAACGGTATGTCATTTTCGTATCGGAGTCCCCCTCTGGCCCACTCCCCCTTAACCAGTAATCAGGCGGTCCCTCTTCCCTTTTGTTTGGAAGACGAGGGGAAAAGGACGCCTGAAATTTTACTTTACGCATCATCTGCCTGTAGTCCAGAATCTGGACTTTTGTCTGATTGTTTAAAAACCAAAAGATCCTTTGGGGCCCTGCAGCGATTGGTTACAAGCAACATATCTGACTTCCGGTGCAATTAGATAGGTTTTGTCACCTTCGTCTCTTCATGACAGGAACCCCGAGATGATCAAGGAATTCTTTTAACAGTAAGCAAAGCTAGGTCTTTTAAAAAGAAAAAGATGAATACTTTTTTAGTGAATCAAAACAACAATGCACAGAGAATAACCTTGACAGCTGATGAGGACGAGTTGTTATTTGTCACCAGTAAGGATATCTGCTATTTCTCCTTTGACACTTTCTTGGTCAGACCAGGCAGGCGTAAAACAATAATTATTGACAATTTTACACCCGCACTTTTGCAACCTGATGAAAGACCATGAAAGATTTGTTGCTGCAAAATCAATTCCTATACTTTTGACATATGCCAGTAAAATACAGAATTGTGTATTTCACTATTGTTTGCAATGAATTTTTAATTTGTTTTACTTGACGGCTTGAACAAAGGTACCACATGGTATCGATAAGGCAAGATTCACAATAACAGCAGTGATAAATTGGTCCTTAAAATCTACGACTTCTGCTAACAACTACTGTATCAACTTAGCGTTCACCTGGAAAGCAGACAAATACATTTCGATTAGCCACCTGGGTTGCAAACCGCTTGAGGTTCAGGTAAAATCTGACACGATAACACAAATGATGACAGATGCCTTCATTAGGGGGTGGCAGACGACTCATGGAGTAAGTGGGTGTTTACATGAGAAGACTCTCACCGGTGCGATTCTCATACCAGGACGACTTTTTGATTTCATATTGTGTTTACATGATTACTGGGTCATTTCATATCTCATTATTTGAAGGTACACTTCATGTTGATAAAATACATGTGCGATTCAAAATCGCAAACATTACACATGCGCTACCTGCTCCAGTCTACCGGCAGACTGATTTAACACTGAAACGGGTGGTCATTTCGCATTTTTATGATACCGCTGCGAGATTTCATACCCGAGTGAAATTCTTGCCCCGGTACAAGAACCGGGGTGAACACACACTGGGGTGACTCACACCGGCATGACATTTTGTGGTGGTATCATGTAAATAAATATAGAGCCATGAGAGGGAACTGGAGTGAACTTGCTCCGGGGCTAAAGTCGCCCCGGTGTCATGTAAACACCCCCTAAATGTATGAGGCAAAACAACTGATCACAGGTTAACTGCACCTAAATATGCCCTACTTGGGGTTGACACACCACTGAGAAGACCTGGAGAACATAAACTACGAGTTATTATTCACGGCTGCCTAAAGGTAAATACCTTTAAAAGATTGACCATTGGTGCAATAATCCCTTGTGCACGTAAAATATCCCTGCACTCCTGCGAATCACCAGAGAAATTCCCTAATGCCCAGGCACATTGATCTTGAAGTTGAACATTCTGTCCACTGAGATACGTGATCAAGTAAACAGCGGAAGCTTTCAGCACTTTCATAGTATCCTCGTGATCTCCCGTAGCTAAGTTCGTAATGCACCAAGCTGCTTCAAATTGAAACTGAGCATTGTTTCCAGTCAAATGTCCCACCATGGATCGCAAGCTGTTTTCTACCATCAAAAAAGCGCTTATGAGTTCACTGCCTTGAGAAAATGCCTTTCGTAAGTTTTTAAGATTGTTAAGATTATTTTTGTCAGATTTCTGGATTGCCCTTGCCAACTGTTGTACTTGCTCAATCGTAAACTCTTCAGCATTCCAGTTGCCCTCCACCTCTGAAAAACGAATACGCTTCGAGCTCAAAAGTTTTTCGCGTTTTTGCTTCCGAATTTCAGATTCCTGATCCCTTCGTTTACTTCTTTGCGATGCTATGTCACTGCCAGTTGTCTTATACTGGTCTCTTCTATCCATTTTCAACTCTGAATTCTTAATTTATCCAAAGTAGCTATCCAAAGTTACTTAAAAATGGGCTGACATTGGCCTGGCAGCCATGTTTAAATAGCTGAGCCTGCACTTTTCCCGCGTTTACTGCGGTCGTTCCCATGACCACAACAACGGCCGCCATTTTTGAAACGACGAAGAACTGTTTATAACATTTTTTGCTATTTTCTTTTTGACAATTAAGTACATTGCTGCCATAAAGAGAAACGTTAGAAATGGCTTCGAGTTTGGTATGTACTTGGTATATTTTAGCCCAAATCTGATCTTATTCACTGACTTATTGCAGTGGCACAAGTCTTGCTAAATGTCTGTTTAAATGCAGAATTTAGCAAGAACTATATGTCTTTATTATTTAATAGATAATGCATTGCAATATGTGAATAATTGACTGATTGGTGTTTTGATTCTGTTCAAGGAGGATCCAACGCTCGAGCGACATTTCAAAGGTCATAGAGACACAGTGACAAGTGTTGACTTCAATCCCAACATGAAACAGCTAGGTAAAGTTATCATATATGCAGACAATGAGACTTTGAAGTATACAATACGAAACGTCTTCTAAACCCAGTAACATCGTGTTCACGTGTAAAAAATGCGCAAAAATAAATATGCTTTTCATATACCTTTCCTTCTCCTAATTTCTTAACCCCCCACTTAGGGTAATGTCGGCTTTAACATTTCAATTTATTTTACATACCTCTTTGGAAACTGATCCGGGAATAATTGTGTGCTGTGGTTTCATTTTTGCAGTTACTGGGTCAATGGACTCCAGTCTGATGATTTGGCATTTTAAGCCACACATGCGAGCTTACAGATTTGTTGGACATAAGGTATGGATAATTAGTGAATTTATTCCAAAGGTAAAGTGTAGTTTTAATTTGTGTATTTAAAAGCCTTTTTGAGTTCCAAAAACCTCCCATGTTCAAAATTAATGAGCAGGATTTATGAAAGACCCCAGGGGGGACTCCCATACAAAAGTGGCTGGGGTGGTGCTCATCGTATTGCTTAGGGGGATAAATTGCAGATTTTGGTCTCATTTAGGGTGTTTGGGATGAAAAGTCACCATATTTGCCCATTCAGGTATCGCTTTGGGCTGTGCATAAAGAAATTTTCAAAAAAATATCCTGAAACTGACCACACGGATATCTAACATTTAAAAAGAACACAACATTTCTCCACTTGTTTATATCCCTCGCTCTTCTGTTTTAGTATGGTCTCCGTCAGGGGTCAGTTTAAGGTTGAGCCACACCCACGTTGATCTCCCTTAAGGGGTTTCATTTTCATTTTCTGACGAGCATCCCCGTCATTTTTATATGGGAGTCCCCCCTGGCAAATTCTAACCTTACCTTTGAAAAGAGGCTTGACACAAATCAGAAATGGTTATTTTCTCTCAAAAGATGGAAATACTGGATTGTGCATTGGTCAAAATCATGAAGAAATTGACTGCAGATGCAAACCTTGATCCTGCAGTACCTTTCCTAGTTTTGTTGACAATTTTCTTCATTCTCAGGATGCTATTGTGAAATATTTTGTACATCTCTGGACTCACAAGATTCACTTGTTGACTAAATACAAGAAAGGTGTTTTATGTAGTTAACAAAATTACCTCTATATTGCTTTTGCTCAGGATGCTGTACTTTCAGTGAAGTTTTCTCCATCTGGACATTTGATTGCTTCAGCATCAAGAGACAAAACTGTCAGACTGTGGGTCCCAAGTGTGTAAGTAATAGATACTGTGAGTTATTGTCCATGCCCAGAGAAACTAAGCCATGTCATTAGCAAGACCCCTGCGTGTGATATTATTGATAACAAGGCTGTGTTCTAAGAAAAATTCAAGGGTGCCCAGCAGATAATTTCTAAGAAATTGAGATTTTCTAGTCACCCAGGAGCAAAAGTAAGGCACCAGCGGCCAACGGGTGCTGCTAGAGTGTAGCCTTGCATAAAGTCATTGGATGCCTCAAGCACTGATAATGGTTACTGCAGTGGATGTTTGTTAATAGGAATCATTAGACATGGTTGCCACAGGTTAGGATATAGTCATGGAAAAAAAAGATAATTCAAGGTCAGGAAAAAGTCAGGGAATTTCTCCTCAAGTCAGGGAAAATTTAATTTTTTGAAAGAATTCGGGGAAAAGTAAAATTTTTAAGAGGACTTGTAAACATGTAGTTTATTCTTTTCCCTCTACTTTAACTGTTTTCTACAATGTAACATTTGAAATTCACTTGGGCATGTGACAGACATGAATCAAGTTAAATTCATTTGGTAGAATATTCTAGAAGTATCCATTCATGCACACTGCACACGCCTTGCTGAAAGCATTATAAATATATGGGTGGAGGGGATGGATTGTTTATTCTGTTGGTCAGGGAAATTTTACATTTTGTCCGGAAAATGTCATGGAAAAGTCAGGGAATTTCAGAGACCTCTGGCTGTGGCAACCATGAAATTTAGATGTTAACTTTGTGATACTTTTTCATTATCCAAAGTAAAGGAGAAAGTACCGTGTTTAAGGCTCACACAGCAACTGTAAGAAGTGTGGACTTCTCTGGTGATGGCCAATCACTTTTGACAGCATCAGATGACAAAACTGTCAAGGTAATTTGTTAGTATAGTTGTGTAAGATGGTGGAGTGGGAGATAGTAAGGCAAAGAAGAAGGGTGTGGTAAGGCTCTGGAAAAAGAAATTTTTGTTTTGAAAAAAGTCTGGGAAAAGTCTTGAATTTTGGATCCAAAAATCTTTACGAACCCTGGGATTAAATGTGCAAGTTGGATGGTGTGTAAGATGGGTGCTGCTAGACCATGCTTTCCTGAATTCATCAATCAAACATGATTATCATATGGTGAAGTTAGCCTCACCAAAGATGTTTAAGAGAATATAGCAAATTACCTTTTTGATTTTTCTTGTAAAGGTATGGACTGTTCACCGTCAGAAATTTCAGTACTCTCTAAATGCTCACATGAACTGGGTGCGCTGTGCAAGGTAAATATAATCTGACAACTATCTAAATATTAGCATAACAGTATGTTACTATAATCAAATTGATAAATTTAGTGGGATTTAATCACACCACAGTGTTGTTCCAATGAATGTTGAGGTTTACTTTTGTGACAATTTTGAACATGACTGAAAACAATTTTCCTGTTGCCTCATAAACAATGCCAGGTTTTCACCAGATGGTCGCATGATTGTATCTGCAAGTGATGACAAGACAATCAAAATCTGGGATAGGACAAGCAAGGAATGTGTTCACAGCTTCTATGACCCAGGAGGGTACGTTAACAAAAGCTTGTAAACTGTTTTTTTACAGTGAGATCATCAACTCATTGTGATGGCTGACTATTAAGCATGGACTGACATCGTACTGATCGAGGATGCTTAGGTCTGTGCAGGTTACTAGCCTCATTAACAGCCTTCCTTTAATTATTGTAGCCTCATCAAAAATTATGTGAATCACTTTTCTTCAGATATGTGAATTCTGTAGAGTTTCATCCCAGTGGAACATGCATAGCAGCAGGAGGAACAGACAGCACAGTCAAGGTGTGTGTGTGTTTCTTCTATCCTTGAAACTTGAGTGCAAGTAAATATTAACTATCCAGTGTGACCAGTTTTACATAGATCTACCTTTGGGGAAAATGATAGAAGTTTAACATTTTCTTTTCAGGTCTGGGACATCCGAATGAACAAACTTCTTCAACACTACCAAGGTAACCACAGTCAAGTTGACTTGATTTTTAACATAAGGAGGCTATTGGATAAACCTTCACCAGGGTGCAAATAAAATCAGTCCTTCAGACAAGCTGTACCTAACTTTTATTAAATTAATCACTTGCTTTATTATTTGTTGTAGTTACACTGTAGCTCTGATTTGTAGCCTTGCTTAACAACATATAGCCTAACATGAAATGTAGTGTTATACTTTTGTTTTGATACTTGCTTTTACAGATTTCACGTTTTCAAAAGGGGGTGAAAAGGGGGTTGTGGTCCACGAGAATTTATTATGAACTTTAAATTTGCCTTTAAGTACTTGTCTTGCCTGTTGTCTTACCCGTTGGGCAAGTTAAGAACAAAATTCACTAGCCCGAAGGAAAAATCCACTAGCCCAGGGCTACAGGACACAGTTTTCTTTGCGTGCTGCTTAACAGTACTGATAACTCTTAACTGACACATAGGTCAAGGACCTTTGATTTTCTCAGATAGTGGGGAGACTAAAGGGCCTCTGCTCACGGTTTAGTTATTTCCATTCTTTTAGCACACACAAATGCTGTGAATGCTGTTTCGTTTCATCCATCTGGAAATTATCTTGTATCTGCATCAAGTGATACCACACTCAAGGTAACAAATTAAGAGATTTATATATTGGCAATTTTTAATTATTAATAGTGATCTTTATGTATTTGAATTCTCTCTGTTCTGGTGAAACAAATAACTCTTCAAAAGATAAATCTGCCGCAAGATGTGAGATCCAACTGTTGTGTTTTGGTATCAATCTTACATTGTGGGCAAAATCAATGGATGCAACCCTCTCTAGCCATCCTCACTGCACTCGCAGGCTTTAGTTTGAAACAATACATATACAAAGCAGTCTCATTCTGCTTTACACTCTCTCATTAGATCTTGGATTTGATGGAAGGCCGGCTTTTTTACACACTTCATGGACATCAGGTTAGTCAATACTTAATAATTTTCTTCCTTAAAATAATTTCCTTTGGGTGTTACACAGACCTGCACCAATGTTTACATCAGTTTTAACAGCTTTTTCATCCTCGGAGACCCAGGGGCAGTTAGTCGGGTCGAGAGAAAAGGCGCGACAAAAGTTTTCAAGTACGGAAACTTTCGTCACGCCTTTTCTCTTGACCTGACTGACTGCTCCTGGGTCTCCGACGATGCAGTTTTTTATGCTCCTTAATACTTTTTAGGGTCCAGCAACATGTGCTATATTCTCACGTAATGGTGAATATTTTGCTTCAGGAAGCTCAGATGAACAGGTAAATAAATCAGTGGAGTTAGTGATGACTAGCAGCCAAATCACCCACCATAACAATAACTCCTTCATAGCCAGATTGTGTATTCATGAGTTACAAATGAAGGAAGCCTATATTTCCTGCAGGTTCATTAGGGTGATTAACTTGAAAAGGTTCTGCATTATTGACAAGTACAGGAAGAATAATTTCAGAATAGGCCTCTTTTTGGAAGTTTGTTGGTGTTAATTACGGATAGGCGTGAACACCTCATGACGTAATGCAAAAGATTGAAAATATGCTGAACAACGCCAAAAAAAAGACAATACCTAACCAACAATGGTTTCAGCAATACAGTGAAAACTTTCCTGGAAGAACCTAGTAGTTTAAGAACCTGCTGGCAGAAATTTTCCACTTCAAGCCAAAAATATAATAACCTGTTTAGCCAAGCAAAATCAAGCAGGTTCTTATACGTGATCACAGGTAAATATGATAAACAATTTAACCAACTAGTTTGAGATTGCAAAGCGACATACAAGAAAATACTGTCCTGAACTGTCATTACAAAATAAGTACAGGCTTCTGTTAGTAATTCCTACAACAAAAAACAGGTTTAAATAAAGTACATTTGTACAGATCATTGTAAAGGTTTGTAATGCACAGTTCTGAATAAGTACATAAATTATTTAAGGACCAAAGTTGAATGTCTAGCCTTTATTTTCCAGTGGTCTCCTTCACAGAAATTAAGACCCTACTTTGCTTAGATTGCCAATAACTGCCCCAAATTACAAAAATGTTTTCTGCCAGACTTCAAAAAATGTAGTTAGGACAAGGTTGTTACATGTGGGTTTTTACTGTACTACGAAACACACTTTTCTTCATCTCCCAAAGGTCATGGTGTGGAAAACAAATTTTGACAAAGTGGACTATGATGAAGGTAAGAAAAATGGATCATAACACACTGATAAAAATAATCTTATTTTTCTGTGAATATTATAAATTGATTGTCTGCAATTGGCTTTAATGTTATAACCACAAAGGACTTATTTTCTTTCTTTTCAACAGTTCTACGTTCACACAGAAAAAGAGCAGCCTCTCCACCTGTAACACTTCCTCACAATCATGACCCACCTCCAAGAACTCCACCTAAATCAGCAGCTCCAGAGGTAAGGGGTGATTTGAAGAACTTTATTTTAACCCATTCCATGTGGCAAGTTTCTTATTTACTGCATGAAAGGGTCAGATGAGATATTTTATTTTGTTCTGCCCATGATCTTTGCAGGTCAGAGCAGGTGCTGAGCCTAGGAACCTCGCTGTTGGTGACCCAGTGGTCATAGAAGTTGGGCCAGCAATGTTTTCAATACCTCAGGTAAATTTTTGATCCATTCATTTTTAAGCATGTTGACTGGCAGAGATAGCAGTGCCAGGAGCATAGTTGTTCTAAGTCAGCTGAATGGTTGTAAAAATTATTTTGTATACAATTATTGTTATTTCAGAGACAGAGCAGACTAGATGAGGTCACTAGCAGAATAGGAGATTTTGATGCACTGGGAGGGGTCTCTGCTGGTCAACCTCCTCTCACTACTCCCCTGGAAAGACGTGATATACCACCTCAGCTCAGCATGACACTAGAACACATTGTAGGACAGTTGGATGTCTTAACACAGGTGTGATATATAACGTTGTGGTTCAATTTTATCTTTGGTTTAAATTTTATTCTCCTTTGTTTTGGGGTATGGTAATGTATGATAATGAGTTTGAAACAAAGGACAATAAAATTATTTAAACCAACTAAAAATTGAACCACAACATAATCAGTAAATATTCTTCAGTAAGTGCCACTCATACACTTAGTATTTTGTCATTTCCTGCTAACAGCACTGAGTGAATGTACAATCACTGGTAATTTATTTACCTGAAATCATTTTATATTTTGTTTTGTTTTGTTTTCATTTGCAGACAGTATCTATTCTGGAACAGCGACTTACAATGACAGAGAATAAACTAAGGGAGTGTCTGGATAATCAGCAAAAAATTAGTCTCCAAATCAGACCAAATGAATAATGTGCCTTGGCCATTTACTTCCTACCACAGAACCTGAAGAACTGAGTAGTTTTATTGAACAGTTAACTACAGAATGTACGAGTTTCACACAGCACGGTGAATCCTTGGTACTCAAACCATCATCAAATCTATTCTCAGTCGGTTAAGTTGTCAAGGGTTATATTCTCATTTCTGTCATCATGTTTGTATGAGATTGATAGAAGTGCTACCATGCAAAAAAGAAGGTTTTGATGGAAAACGCGTGATGAAAACAACATCCGCAAGTATGCACACAGAGAGTCATTAATTGCTGACATCTAACTGTAACATTTGATGTTATTTATGTAAAAATAAAGAGTTGGACTGGGCTGAACATCAATAATAAAATCTTAGTCTCAAACCTCACAATTATTGTTAAGTTTGAGACTAAGATTTTTTTTTTTTTAAGACTAAGATTTATGCAACTGACCTCAGAACCACTAAGAACAATGTTCAAACTGTATATATTTAAATGGAAAGCAAATGATGTGATGTAAAACAGGAATACAGTCAAACCTCCATTAAGCGGCCACCTATTAAGTAATGATCTGTGTTAGACGGGAAGCAATTTCTTTTGTAATGGCACAATACACTTTCCTCACATAGGAATATTTTCATTTCCACACATACAATGCATAAATTAACGTACAAAAAGGCAGTCTACAAAAAACAATGAATTAAAACTCCATTTTAAAGGGTTTTTTTTTCAGTTAAAAGATTTCAACCAATCAAAAGACTTGCAAAGAAAAGCCAAGAAAAGTTTACAATAAATATTCCTCACATAGGATTTCTGGGTTACTTAGACTCAGTGAGATTTTGTTACAACGAAGGAAGTTGGTTAGAAAAAAGGGATTAATAATGGGTGCTGCTGTGTAAAGATTTCGTAAAATTTGTTTTTTTAACCAATCAGAAGTGTAGTAGAGACAATTTTAGTAAAGTTATCACCTTTTTTGCATTCCAATTTGTGTTCATTGCATTTGGCTCTTTCCTTCTTATCTGGCCACTCTCTATTAAGCAGCTAGTAACACAGGCAGCCCAAACTCATGTTATGAGGAAAGGAGGTAAAGTAATTTACTTACCATAGGTGACGCATGACCTTTTTGCTAGACATGTTGGTGTCGTGTTACAGGCGACTGTTGAAAATATGAGACTTTGTATGAGAAATAAAATACTGAAGTCTGCGAACGCTAAATAACATTAAATCTAATTTTTCCTTCAATGAAATAAATAAAAAAGACTTACCTGCGATGTATTCCACCGAGTCTCAGTGTCTGCTTGTCCTTTAACTGGTTTTTTTGGCTTTATTGTATAACCACTGTTACTCCCTTCATAGGACAAAGTCAAGGTTGGTCACTTCGATCTGGGAGGGTCCTGGACCAGTCGCAACAAAAATGCTGTTTTTTCGCTGAAATTCAAGTCTGCTGCACATTTTTTCAGCTCCAACCCAAGAGGAAAACCTCCTTTTTGTTTCTAAGAGATCGGCTCGAAAAAAGCTTTATAATTTCCCTATCAAATTGAACCATTTGTGTCGGACTTCAAGGCACGTCTGGTTTTCATCCAGTGCCTGTGACTGCTGTTACGCTTTAAACTAATTTGCATTATGACAATTAGCACTTATACAACAGGTGCAAGGGTGGAGATGACACGTTTACTAGGCTCTTGAACTGTGAAGAAGTGAGCCCTTGCACCGGTCATGTAAGTGCTAATTGTCATAATGCAAATTAGTTGGTAAATGCAACAGCAGTCACAGGCACCGAACAAAAGCCAGATGTGCCTCAAAGTCCGCCACAAATGGTTCAATTTTTGTTGCGACTGGTCTGGGACTCTGCCAGATCAAAGTGACCAGCCTTGACTTTGTCTCAAGAAGGGAGTAACAGATCTCAGTATTTTATTTGTCATACAAAGTCTCTAATTTTCAACGGTCACCTGTAGCGCGACACCGGCGCATCCAGTAGAAAGGTCATGTGTCACCTATGGTAAGTAAATTACTTCACACTCTTTCCTGGTAATGTGAGTTTGGGTTACCAGTGCTAGTAATCAAAGTCCTGAAACAATTGTAGAAAAGAATGGGAAATTAAACCTCTATTAAGCGGCAGCAGCCACCTTTTGGCCGTCCTAGTGAGAGTTCTCCCATTGTTGTCACCTCTATTAAGCTGCCATTAAGAGCTTGATACACTTAGTTTGGCTTCATTTTAAGAATAGTGATGAAGGAAAATCCAGTGCAACATAGAATGTGACAACCGATTGTGGACCAGTAATGCTTCTTCCGTTGTGCATTTGTGGCTGCTTAATGGCAGTTCAAGTGTAACTCATAAGTTTTCGGAGTCACTGTTCCCCTTAGTACGCTTTTCTTAGTTATGGGTAAGCTGACCTGGTCTAGAATGTTCCAAACAACTGGTATAAATAGTCCCAATTGTATGTTTTAGGCCTGAAAAAGTTTACTGGACTGAGATGATCAAAGACTGGGCCGAGTTGTTCAAAGCTGTGTTAAGATAACCCAGGGTTAGTTCGAAATTTGAATTCAGATGTGAAAGCTTAAAAAGCAAATTCAGTTTAATTTTTTTTGTCAGCAATTTGATGATTGGCTACTCTAAAAAGAACAGAGAAAATTGTCTGAGAAAATGCTTCTGATGAAAAGTAAAAGAGACACGGGTTAAAATTTAACCCTGGGTTAGTGCCAATTGGCCTTCGAACAACTGGGCCCTTGGCTAGTGCTTAACCCAGAGTTAAATTAAACCCGGTTTTCTTTTTCTTATGTTCTAAAGCATTTTCTCGGATAATTTTCTCTGTTATTGTTACAGCTTCCAATCATTATCTTGTAGACAAAAAGAATTGAAACTGAAATGCTTTTTAAGCTTTCAAATCTGAATTCAAATCTCGCACTAACCCTGGGTTATCTTAACCCAGCTTTGAACAACTTGGCTCTGATGTTTAGTTACCATGACAACTCAGCCCAGGTCAATTTAAGAACTGTATTATGTTAAAATGTAACTCCAACAGTTTCAACCAGGTCATTGGTCATTAGACTGAGTCATAACACAACAGTTACTTTTATTTATGACTCAGTTCAGAAAATATATCTTTCCAAAAATAATGTTATTAATACCTATAAGAACATTCTAATATTGTAGGTTTCTGACAGTGGACAAGACAAGATAGAAAAATCATGACTTCTACAGACATTATAGATAAATAACGTCACAAAGATAATCCATTTGTTAAAATACTTTATTACAAGGTCTTTCAGACTGATAATAAAGATAATGATTACTATGTACTACAACCAGCACAAGTTGTACAAAGTTGGGAAATATTATTGTGCTTTTGCAAGCCATTTATATGAAGGGATTGATTGAAAAAATTACTTATATATTTTGTGTTGAAAGGCAAATTTTAGAACTTAAAGTTTTTGGTATGAATGAAAGCAATACATACAACATAATGACCATAAATTGCAAGAAAATATCTTGAACAAGCTATTTCTGGCAGTTGCAGATTTCTTCCTTGCAAAAAGTTTTTATTTTTTTCGGTAAAGTGGCAGAAAAAACATGGTAACGTTTACCTTTAGCTAATTAGGAAAATTTTGGATTTTTGCCTATAAAAAGCAAAGCAATGTTAAAATAATTAGCGTGCTTCCATCATGTCCCTCACTTGTCTCTTCTCTTCTCTTGACAGTTGGGGTGAGAAGGCAAGCTGCAGAGTTAAATATATCAAAATATATGTCGTATTTACTATCGAGGGAAATGGAAAAACCTAAGTTAAATTACCCTTACCTTATTATAATAATTATAGACACGAGTGTTTTACTGGAAAATGTACCACTCGTAAAATTCATAAAAACTACATCCGGGACCCGAGTGGTTTATTTTCCATAATCTCACACGTGAGTTTATCGATGACGTAATTTTTGTAATTTCCCTGTATTATTTTATCGATGTCATTTTGTCTATATAATAAAAAGAACATTACACAGCGGCTTGAAGATATGAATTTTATTTTCTTGTGGCAAAAACAATATTTTACGAACGAGCTCAGCGAGTGAGTAAAATATTGTTTTGCTACTCGGAAATAAAATTCATATCTTCGCGCCACCATGTAATATCCTCTCTCTACCGAGAATGAAAAGAAAAGATAAAATCTACAAAAAAAGCACACCATATTTGCATTTTTAAAATTAGAATTAAAATTCTCTTCTGTGCTTGGCTGTTTTTGAACCATTTCCCCCTGAAAACAGTGTTCATACACTTCTTCTTACATCAAATTCAAGGACCACATTTTTAAATTTCAAGGACCTAATTTATTACAAGGGTTCCAAATAAACTATGAAAACGTTCCGAATAATAATGAGCTTTTGTTCTTAAGGCCAGCCATTTTTATAATGCAAAGGCACTAGTAACCATCTAAGACCTCAGCCTTTTGAAGCACGCGCCATCCATGCCTGACCTTCATTTCCTCAAAGCCAATTTTATTCTGTTTTTTGGTGTTTGAAAATGTTCGTCAATTAAAATTCAAGGACTTTCAAGGCCTTGAAAAAGGACAATAAAAATTCAGGGTTTTCAAGACGTGTTCGAACCCTGTGAAAAGTTTGCCAAAAAATCCAGTTTGAAGCTGGTTGAGCATTTTGGACAAAAATGCTCACACTATACATTTAAGTTGAGCACTGTGCTAGTGTTTATTCCTGATACTAAAAATTTAACAGACTCACATTAGGGCATAAGCAGAAGACAATAATTTTAAATTTATATCAACAATTATTTTAATTACTTACATAATCATATGTGATAGAAGGTGGAGGTAAAAAACATTCCAAATGATGAAAGTGGGTTTGTGGTAAATGCTCCCATCTTGTTTTGAAGTCAACAATCCATCGAAGAGATCTAAACAATAAATCACATTTTATGCCAATGCAGTTACTTAAGGTGGGAACACACTAGGCGACATGTGCTGCAACAGGTCGCAGTGACTAATCACTGTGTGTACAGGTCAGCCGATAAGTTGCTACAAAAAGTTGCATGGCACATTGGAGAGACCAATATTGGTTCATGTGAACTGGGGAATTTTGTCGCTGCAGCAAGTTGCACCAATTCAGTCTGATTTGATTTTGTGCGACTTGTTGCAGCGACAAAATTCTGTTGCTGAGACAACGATTTCCCCATAACTTCTCCAGAACACACGATATGTTGCTGCAATGTGGTGCCAGAGTGGGTTGCTGCAACTTGTCACTTAGTGAGTTCCGACCTTTACTGTTATCTTGTAGTGTTAGTATTTATTATATACATACTGTCATGCTATGACGTAAATTTTCTTACACAAATGAGTTCTAGCCAATCAGAGGAGCAAACAATGTCTTTCACACATGGGAAAAAAAAACAATACTGTTATTGACGAAACTAATATGAAGCTACTAACTGGGGGTAGAAGTAACGAACAGTGTAAGAAAAATAAACGTGGCACAAATTCACTTTTGTGGTTTGCTGTAAATGTCCCTAAATCTCTCTCTCTCTCTTTCAATAATAGAGAGATTTAGAAACTACTTTAAAGTAATTTTATAAAGAAGTCAGGACTGTGCTCTGTTTTGTTATAAAGCACGCAGAAATTGAGGCAGCTAGAGCACAAAAGAGGTGTAGGGGAAAACCCACGACGTAGTGCTTCTTGAGTGCTCTAGCCACTTTCTACAAAAGAACAGGGAACAGTCAAGGTTTCTTTATTTGTTTCATCATAAAGAATCTGTTAAATTCCCCACGCATTACTTTCTATTTTTCAATACAAACTTTATCTCCATGTTTTATAATTTCATAAAGCACCTTTTTCAGCCAATCAGAGTGGGCATTATATGTGAACTTTATTATAATGATTTGAGTAATAAATTTCAGAAATGTTTTTGAATACATGTATTTTCTGTAGGCTTTTCTTTAAGTCATTGAGTACAAAAGTCCTGTACAAATTGTCATGTTCGTTGGAGCCATCTAAAAGTTTGAGAGATGCTAAAAATGTAAACAAAAAGCATTTGTCACCAAAGTATTGTCGCAAAAACCACATTGTGAAATACATTAAACTAATACAAACAGACTGCATTAAGCTGTGGCAACCATTATCAATCCCAAAAAAGTTGCAGATAGTAAAAACTCAAGAATAGCCTTTCATGGGCACACTAGTTATATTCAAACTTTGAGTTGATAGTCATTGTGAGATTATAACGTGCAAGAAAATATCCTAGGAATAATATGATCACCTGAAAGCAATGGGGGCGAAGCAAGTTCTGCACCTGGCACGACCACTGCGAGCATGCTCAACACTGTAACAATAGTCCAAATGAAAGTGCTAAAAGAGATATTACAAAATGGCAGTAACTCAGACCAGTATTAACAAAAAATAGGTCTTTTTGAAGTTACTGTCATAACAAAAGAAACAAAGGAAAAAAACAAAGTTCCCCTTGTGTTCTACTTTTTAGATGTATTGTTGTTTTTCTTTTACATAAACTGTGCCTCAGTACCTGCAAAGGGAAATACATGTGGGAGATAGGTGAACTCAGAGTTGAGGAGCTAGGGTCAATAATACCACCAATGAGACCACATAACCTTCCTTGGTATTGATTTGCAACCCACATACCTTTAAGGCCGATACACACGAGGGATTTTGCTCCTGGAGCATGCTCCAGGGGCATGCTCCGGGAGCAAAGGTCCTCCGTGTGTACCAACGATTTCATGGGTATACTTCATCCTCGGGAGCAGAAATTCCACCCCACAAAATGCTCTATGATATTTAACAGGTTAAATGTTTGGGAGCAAGCTCCCAGGGCAAATTGAGCGAACTTGAAAACACTCCCTTGTGTGTACTGATACGTGCAAAATGAGCCTGGAGCATGCTTCGGGAGCAAAACCCCTCGTGTGTATCGGCCTTTAAACAAAGTTCATATCAACAGCAAGAGAAACAAAGAAACAGGATCAAACTGCTTCAAAACCATTGTCCTTATGATTTTTTTGGGTAGGAAAATTTAGTAGAGTTTCTTTGCACCACTGCTTCTCTTAAACTAAAACTACAATATAACATACCACTCCATCCCACAGCAAAAAATCCAGGTCAACGCTATCATCTGAGTCACTATCACTGTAAAAATGTCAACAAGTCATTAAAAAATCAACAAAGGTATGTTCCGAACACTCAATCAACAGGACTGGTGTTACATTTACAATAACAATGGACGTAAGAAATTACCTAGTAGTTGATGATGGTTAAAGCTATATTCCTGGACAAGTCTCTGGTAACACCACAAGACTAATGGTTATAGTAATAAAAAATAATTCACTTCTGTTGCATGCTTAGGTGTAAATCGTATTCCATTACCTTTCTGAAGAAACTGTTAACACCTCAACCTTTTTCTTTTTAACTTCCTCAGACATCTCCTATTAAAATAAATTTTAGATATTCAAGTTGTTAAGAAGAAAGGAAGTGGTGGAATAAGAAAATAGACCATTAATAGGTGGATTTGTCCCCTATACCCAACCTGTTTTTTAAGTTCTCTTTCTTTTAATTCCTCTGCTGTAAGAACCTCTGCAGCCACCTTATCAATGGTATTGTCCAGCACCTGAAATTTCAAACAATAGATTGAAGTATAAGTTGTTGTCAGATCATACAAATAATACTGTATTAAAAACCAGGGTTTAAAACAGCAGCCAGCACTCTGACCACATTTTCCGGCGACTTTTAACCAAGGAAATAGATAATGTCATGCTTTGATCAGCCAATTGAAATTGAAGTTGCTGTAATGTTGGTTTAAATATTTCATAACACACCACAAAGCAGCCAAGGGATGTTTTAAAATGAGTAAAAGAAGGCTTGGAAATTTAAAGTGTGCCGCTAAAGTTGAAAAGGAGATCTCATGTTCACAGCAAATGATTAATTCTGAAGCAGAGGAATGGAGTGATGAACCGTTTGATTACGGAATTTTGAGAAGCGATTCTGCTTCAGGCGAATGAATTAATATATTATAGTAATAACTTTGCTCCAGTCCTAAATACAAACTTGTAAACTGTTTTACTTTTATCAGCTTTATCTTATGAGTATTGATTATCAGAATGTCTTCAGCAAGGAGAGATTCACACATCACAGTCTTCTTTCTAAAAAAAAACTTAGATAAGAACTAATTTATGTATTTCTGGCAATCAGTTTTCATCTAAGTATGTGATCCAAACATGGTTACCTTTCAAATTGGTGATACCGATAATTATTGATATTGATTTCCCAAATATCAGTTCTATGAACATATTTCATGAATCGCGCTGACATTGTTTCCTGGACATTGAATATTTAACTGTTCCTTTATCTACTGTGATAAATCGCAATGTTGACTATTGACAGGATGTGCTCATTTATTATTCATTATTGGGAGAAAATAAGCCTTGACATAAAAAGCCCACAGATTCAGGTTAAAAGCTGTGATTTTATTTGAACCCTGTAAAAACAGTAAATTTTAAGCCTGCACCAAAGAAAGTCAGCTAAGGGAACATACACAGCGATTCTTGTTAAGGATTATTTCTTGTGCCTTTTTTCTAAAAGAATTGTTTGTAAGAGCAAACCGGAAGTGCATTTTTACCGGAAATTATGTTACGCGCGGGAAGATTGACAGTTTCAAATAAAAGTCCCCGGATTGAGGGGAGGAGCACTTACGCCATAGAAAAAAATCTTGTGTGGATGTTTGTCTTCTTTTACGGGATTTTTTCAGTGGGAACTCTGGACTTTTTTAGGAAAAGGACTGAGAAAATTTAGGAACCTAAGGAGAAACAATTCTTATAAATTGTTGATTGGAGCAGGGGGGTGTTAGAAGACAGTGATGATGCTAAATCAACCCTTTCAAAAGGATTTTAAACGGTGTGGTTTTAAATAATATTAAACACAGTTGTCAATTTATGTGGTCGTGTTTTTCAGGCGAGCAGGGGCAAACATGAGGAAAGTGGAGAGTGACTGCAGTCATGCACAATGGATGGGGAACTAACAGGGCTTGTCCCAAGCCTACTGTACATGCATGGACTAGGAATACCTCAAAACAATTTAATGTCACAAAAGAGAGAGCTGTTTCCTTGACTAACAGAGGGATACAGGAATAACAAATATATTTGACAACATTACCTTGACTGGCACTGCTAATTTCAACTGAGTGCTTGCTCTACAGTTTGGACAGTTACCTGAATGACTAAACACATGAATGTGATATTTTAGATTATAATTCTCAAAATGTTTTCTGTTGTTATTAACTTTTTAAGTAGATAAAATAAAATAATTTTGGAAATACTTGACAATAATAAAGAAATAATATCTGAAAGTTTCAAAATTAACATACTCATTTACCTCGAGAAGATGATGAAAAACAACACGAGAGATATACTAAAACATATTTCAAATGTACTCTTTACCTAAGCCAGTCCCTGATGCAGCTGTAACAAAAGGTGTGTGAGCATGGCAGTGTGTGAGATAAGACCATCAGTTCACGGCAGATACAACATAATAGCTCCTCATTCAGATCTGCCAGGTATTTTTTGGATCTCCCATCTAAATTTCCACAAAAAAAAAAATATATTTTAATGGAAAATCAAAAACAAAAATTAAAACAAAACAAAAATCACAGAAAAGTAAAGCTCAAGGAAAAATATTTAAGCAAATATTAATTTTCTAAGGCAGCTGGTGTAATTTTAGGCCACTAACCATTCCTATTAAAATAAAAAAAGCCAAAGAAAGATGATGATAATGTTGTAAAATAGTAAATACATTGTAGGAAATTATTGACTGCAGTGCTAGTAAAGGCAGCTTATTATTATGCCTTTAGCTAGCAGAGCTTGATTTTCAGCGAACTGTGCTCACAATAATTATTATTGACAGAGCTCCTTTTGGAAAATTATGCCTCTTTTTCTTTAAGTATGAGATCACATTAACGGACTTTTCTCACGTCAAATGGCCCCTTGGCCTTCTATTTACCTTTGGTTTGCTTTAGGCCCGGATCTCTTACAATTTGAGCAAGTTCCAGCCTGTCAAACAGCTATTCTTCTTGTATCTACAAGTTGCTTGACGCCATCAATTTGCTGCTAGTGAAAGCAGGAACCGAGACCAATGCAGTCTTTACCTCCTCAGTGTTGTGGTAACCTCCCTCCTCCCCCAGACATGAGAAGGATCTTGTGTCATTTGTGCACCTCTCGGTCGAGTATCGACACTGATATGGCACTATTGGCTGATATCTTTATATGTCAGCCAAGTATCAGTCACCACGCAATCGCTATATTGGTCAACTGTTGGTCAACATGTTGATCGACATATCGATCAACATGCTGAAGTGTCGGCCAACATGTCGACCAATATGTCGGCCTATACATGGCCAGTATGCTGACTGACACCTGGCTGGCCAATACGGGGAGTGTCAATTGTCGGTGGCATATCAGTCGATTGTGTTTTAAAATTAGAACAAGGGAGCTGGGTTTCAGTGTTACGCGTAAGATATCGCGGTCGGAGGTTTGAAAATAGTTTCTGTTCTGTTGTTCATGTCATCCCACGTCAGCCTCACTGAGTCAGTTTGTCGGATTTCTGCCGTGGTTCTACGCATTTTTTAATGTTACATTGTCCTTGAATACCTCTTAAATGTGATGCCATAGCAGTCCCCATTTTTTCCAAAAAACAAAAATATCAAACTGGTAAAATCCGTCAAAGCCCCTTAAAAATTGCTTCATGGACACTAAAACAACTACAATTTGAGCAGACACAAAATATATCATCGACTAAGTATCAGTAGAGTATCGGCTGAATGTCAGTAACCTATCAATGTCTGCTGACTATCGGTCAACATACCGACCAACACAATCATGTAGTGATTGTAGAATTGCATGTGTGCTTAGGTGTGTAGTCCATGTGTGCATGTATGCTTTGTGATAATTACTGTAATTGTTGTACTTTGGAATTAATGAAATAATAATAAAAAAACACAATCCACCAATCTGTCCGTCTACCAACATGACGACAGAGAGTCAGCGAACCAAAGTCAGCCGAGTCAACTGGGAGTTGGCCAATATGGCGACCAAGAGTCAGCCGTCATCTCGGCCGACATGTCAATCGAGTTATATCGGCCGATAGCATTGACCAATACCAAACTGAGAGGTGCACAAATTACACGAGATCCCATAAGAACATAGACTAAACCACGGACAGGACAAAAATTTGAGAAGACACAAAAATAATATTATACCGCATCAGTGAAGTATTGGTTGAATGTCAGTAGCCTATTGATCGATATGTCGACTGACTATTGGTCAACATACCGACCAACACAATCAGCCGATCTGTTGGTCGACACATCAGCCAACTCTCAGTTGGCTATCGCTCGACCTATAGGCCAACATGTCAACCAAGAGTCGGACAGCCGATGTCAGCCAAGAGATTGACCGGGAGTCGGCCGATATGTTGACCGATATGGCGACCTAGAGTCCGCAAACATATTGATCGAGTATCAGCCAGTAGCGTTGACTGAGACTCAATCAAGGGGTGCACAAATTACACAAGATCCCATAAGAACATAGACTAAACCATGGACAGAACTTAAAAACAATCACTCTCTGACAGCAAGCAAGCCATGTCTTTGGTAATGTTTCCTCTAAAAATCCTAAAAATATGTCTAGTAGTGCTACTTTTATAAAAAGTGCAAAAATCACCCCCACTTTTCTAAATGATGGCAAAAATTACGCTAGCACAATCGATTGGGGCCTAACAGTTATACAACGGGACACTGACTGGACCTTTATTAATTCAATACTACCAAAACAAGAAGACCACAAATTCAAAAATTTGGATAACAGTTGATTTTGTCAACAAAATAATAATGTTAACAACTTGGGTCATATTCTTAGTTTGTCAATGCAAAAAGGAGAACTCACGTAGTCACATTCCTGAGCATTTTTCAGGCCAAGTGGAACAGTGGCATCCTCTGTCACCTCAAAAGGACAAAAGTTCTCACAGTTGTGGCCTCCTAATGCTAACCAAGATCAACTGTCATGCATATCTTTGAATTTGCAGTTTATCTGTCTCTTATCAGTAGTATTTTTTGTGGTGATCCCAATACATTTACCACAATACCTAGCCTTCCCTACTAAAAAAACTTTCAATAATTTATATCAAAGGTATTCAACTTCTTAGGTACTTCTTAAGAAATAATCTTTAAGTTCTTATTTCATTATCTCTCTTTAGCATTACATACATAAGATATTCTCTTGAAAAGTACCTTTTCCATTATCCCTGGTTTCTTCGTGACTATCTTTTTCACATTCTACATCCTGATCTTTTGAAACCTGTGTTTTTAATTATTAAAAAATTCAAAGAGTGTGAAACACTAAACCTTTTTTAAAATTGCTTAATTGGGTTTTGCAAAAAATAGGTCACTACTTGAAAGAAAAATTGGGTGCCCTGTTCAAAATAGCTATTGCAGAGCCGTAGCTAGCGGGGGGCAAAGGTAAGCTGCCCCCCCATGGACCTGTTGAGCCAGACAAATCAAGTCTGTGGATGGATTTGTTTGCTTTGCACTTGGTTATTTTAAATGTAGTGACTTGCAATTGTTTACCATTTTCATGACAGAGAAATTGGTTGGCCCATGGTGTGTGCAAATAGTAAGCACAAGGTTAGTTAGCCAACCATCATGCAGTATTGTGAAATGTTTAGTGTACTAGTGCTTGGGTATACAGTGTGTTTCAAATTAACAGGACCTGGGAAATAAGCTCTTGTAAGCATTGAAAACGCCTGCCTTTTCACAGTTATTCAAGGTCAATTTTTTGGAGACATATCTTATGAAGAGTGTTAAAAAATACCATTTCATAGCCTCCAAATTTGAGCCTTTTCTGGGGGAAGATACCCCCGGACCCCCCTGCAAGGCTCATGCCTTCAGCACTCGCAATAATACCCCCCCCCCCCACCCCTCATTACAAAAAACTTAGCTACGGCCCTGTATTGTGCATCCTATATTACTTTACAGCTGTCAAACAAGAAATGCATGCAAACTTCATATCATAAATTTGCAAAAAATAAATTTGAATAATTGAAAACACAGGCCACTTTTCACGAAAATAGAAGACCACAGGACATTCCAAAGTAGATTTTCTATGATCCATGAGTTCTAATGATCCAGTAAGAAAAGCAATGACACAGGGACGTAACAATCTCTGGTAGTGACATCGATCTGTTAGTTTTGAAAAGCTTTATATCCCTAGCATTTTCAGGTCCATAAGTGTGTAAGCAGTGCAAAGCAATATGAGTCATAGCCCTCATTGGGTGTGTTTTGACAACAAGTTTGCATTTTCTCACCTCTTTACCTCTTTTCTTGGACTTCTTGTTCTTATCCGCTGGAAGGCCACTAAAAGATTAAAGAAAACTGAAGGAATTTTCTCACTGAATTAAGAGAAGATGCCTTCTCACTGAAGGTCCAGGGGGGCGGGGGGGGGGGGGGCTGGCCCCTTTTGTAAAGTCTTGGTTGGTGACCTGTGGGGGGGGGACTTGTACAGTATCAGGGGGCACGGGGAGGACCTTTTTTAATATGGGGCCCAAAAGGGTTTTTTGGGGGCAATACAGTTAGTCCCTTTTTTCCTTGTACCAAAGATTTGGAGAAAATACCACCCAGTAGTTTTTTTGTTTTTTTTTTTTCTTTCATCTTTTTTCTTTTTCTCTCTTTTTTTTTTTTCTTTTGTTTTTTTTTTCTAGAAAGACAGAGAAAACAAAAAAAAAAAAAAAAAAAAGTAATGTATTTATTACGGAAGAAAGGAGGGGGGGGGGGGGGGGGGGGGGGGGGGGGGGGGGGGGGGGGGGGGGGGCTGTGCACTTCTGTAAAGTCTTGGTTGATGACCTGTGAGTGGGGAACTCGTACAGTATCAGGTGGCACGCGTAGGACCTTTTTTAATATGTGGCTCAATAGGGTTTTTCAGGGTCAATACATGTAGTCCCTATGTCACTGTCAACAAAGATTTGGAGAAATTACCACCACTGATGTATTCGATGAAGATGAAAATTTGTCATGATCAGGGTTACTATGACATTGGAGTTGTCAAAGCAATGAAATGATTCCATTACCTATTTCACTTGCAGCCATTTTCTTGGCATTTTGATCAAACTGGGGACGTATTGACCCTGAAAAACCCTATCGAGCCACCTTAATTTCAGTTCCAGTCTAAGCTGTTAATATACCAAAACCCGTTTATCTGAAAGACGAAACCTTATTCAAGACAATTTTTATTTCTATATCATATAACATTCTATATCCTTATAAGGGGGGTCAGTAGCTGAAGAGAAAAAGAAAAGGAACGGGGGGGGGGGAAATGTCCCATTTCCACAGTAGAGGGGAAAGTAATGAACTGCGCTTCACACTTTGTACCTTAATAATAACTCTTCACTTGTCGATACAGGCTGTTTTCGTTTGCTTCGACGACGTACTTTACCATCACTAGTACCTTCACCAAGAGAATCTGGCTCTTCAGAGCTGCTGGGACGTACCTCCACAAAAACATACACCAGCTCTGAATCATAAGACCGCACTATCTGTCCTTCTTTAACTTTTTTCTTAACACCGATGCCACCGAAAACAATCTCATCTCCTTCGCAAAGCACAGCTGAACTCCGCTTCTTTTGATTTACAATCATTCCGTTCATTCCTTTGCAATCAATTCTATATTTTCCATCAACGAAACGAATTTCAGCGTGTAAACGACTTATCATCAAGGGAGAGATTGAACTATCGATAACAACATCTGAGCTTTCATTGCAACGACCAAAACGTGTAACTGTTGGCTTGAGCAAAACTTTTTCTGGCTGGAGTGACGGGTCATAAGTTCTTCCTTCGATATGTTTCAGGCATAACATTTTAAATCACCTGTTAAAATTAACAATGAAGTCTTTCTTTAGCATCCGAAATTGCCGCCATGTTGACTTTCACTTCGGCTAACTGATGACGATTCCACTCGAAAGAATACTCGGAGATACTCGGACAAGATCGGGTAGATCCGGCTAATGGCCACAGACAACCCACGCTCGCGCGGAAGAAAAAACTAGAAACGTGGGAACGTCAATGATTCCTCTTCTGACTCTTAAGGTCATTCCCCTGAAATAGAACTTAACATAGATTTTTTCTCAAAAGAATACTCGGAGATACTCGGACAAGATCGGGTAGATCCGGCTAATGGCCACAGACAACCCACGCTCGCGCGGAAGAAAAAACTAGAAACGTGGGAACGTCAATGATTCCTCTTCTGAAAAAATACTCATCATACTAGGACTTCGAAATCAAAATAAAAAAAGGGGGGTGCCGGTATTCGTTTACGAGCTGCGAGGGCTCGGCCCCTTTGAAGCAATTTTCGACACTTCCGGTTTGCTGCCTTGCACCATGGACTATACAAATAATTAGGCCTAATAACACTCAGAATACTATTGATTGTGCGAAATAAGGTTATACATATTTAGAGTTGGACAAGGGTAACACTTTCAAAAGGCTTTTGGTACGAAAACGCATACGTTGAGGAAGCACTACCCTAAATTCGTTACCATGGTTACCATAATTTAAATGAAAAAATGAGTATTGGCTTTATTGTTTCCTATATATCTTTTTTTCTGAACATAGAAAATTGTCCATTCTTTTTGTGTAGGCAGCCTATTGTTTGTAGAGTCAAACAAGTGAAAAAAAGAGGGGGGTGCCGGAATTCGCTTAGAAGCTATGCCATCATTTTCTGTTCCCAGGTGGGCAGGCCCATTTCTCTTTCCAGGAAAAAAAACATCGTAAATTTAACTGCAATTATTCGTACAGATCTACTTTTTGGTTGGTAAGTGACAGGTTAAAGGAATGCTCTATCTGGGCTCCTGATTGAGGACAAAATGATGAAAAGTGGTTGCCATGGCAACCAAATTAACGTTACTTTGTTACAATAAAAAGAACAAGCAACACTGAATCTGATATTTAATATGACACTTTAATTCTGCCTCGAAAGTTGCAGCTGCCGGCTTCGATGCATTTCTTTTTTGTGCTAACGCCTCCGTCACCTTCCACATTACAACACTTCCTTTTCCAAATATTTTTTAACTTCTCTTGTCTTCCCTTTTCTTTTGAACTTACTAAAAAACCTTTNGGTAGATCCGGCTAATGGCCACAGACAACCCACGCTCGCGCGGAAGAAAAAACTAGAAACGTGGGAACGTCAATGATTCCTCTTCTGAAAAAATACTCATCATACTAGGACTTCGAAATCAAAATAAAAAAAGGGGGGTGCCGGTATTCGTTTACGAGCTGCGAGGGCTCGGCCCCTTTGAAGCAATTTTCGACACTTCCGGTTTGCTGCCTTGCACCATGGACTATACAAATAATTAGGCCTAATAACACTCAGAATACTATTGATTGTGCGAAATAAGGTTATACATATTTAGAGTTGGACAAGGGTAACACTTTCAAAAGGCTTTTGGTACGAAAACGCATACGTTGAGGAAGCACTACCCTAAATTCGTTACCATGGTTACCATAATTTAAATGAAAAAATGAGTATTGGCTTTATTGTTTCCTATATATCTTTTTTTCTGAACATAGAAAATTGTCCATTCTTTTTGTGTAGGCAGCCTATTGTTTGTAGAGTCAAACAAGTGAAAAAAAGAGGGGGGTGCCGGAATTCGCTTAGAAGCTATGCCATCATTTTCTGTTCCCAGGTGGGCAGGCCCATTTCTCTTTCCAGGAAAAAAAACATCGTAAATTTAACTGCAATTATTCGTACAGATCTACTTTTTGGTTGGTAAGTGACAGGTTAAAGGAATGCTCTATCTGGGCTCCTGATTGAGGACAAAATGATGAAAAGTGGTTGCCATGGCAACCAAATTAACGTTACTTTGTTACAATAAAAAGAACAAGCAACACTGAATCTGATATTTAATATGACACTTTAATTCTGCCTCGAAAGTTGCAGCTGCCGGCTTCGATGCATTTCTTTTTTGTGCTAACGCCTCCGTCACCTTCCACATTACAACACTTCCTTTTCCAAATATTTTTTAACTTCTCTTGTCTTCCCTTTTCTTTTGAACTTACTAAAAAACCTTTTTTATCTCTCGACTTGGTGCCGACGCCGAAGGTAGCCATCTTGAAAGATTACGTGACCAGTGTTGCAACATTATGCGCAGTAGAGATGCGCAATGCAATTCAGGGGAATGACCTTAAATTTTCTATAAGTCCGTTTTGGTTGGGTCATCGCTCAGAGGAGAAAACTTTCGTCGCTCGCTTTCAACCTCGTCCCCAGGGCGCTTTTCCCTGGCTTTGGAGTGGGCGGGAAAAGCCTTTCACTCGCTTTCGATCGCTCAAAAAGTTGACTCTGATTTCTGTGCGTGCCATGAAAGATGGACCAACAAGACAATAGATAAGGATTTTGTGTTAGCAATTTCTTACAAGTTCTGAGAAAAGAAAAAGAATCGTTTCAAGAAATTTGGTAGATAAATCCTTATCAAACTTTGTTGAGGAGTGTTAAGCAACAGTAGTTTGTAACTCCAAGGGGGGTGGTATTATTGTAACGTCAGCTTGTAGCAGAAGTGTCCCATCCCAGGGCTTTTCCCTTAGAAAATGGAAGCCGAGCGGGAAAAGGCCAGGCCAGGGAACAAGGTTGACAAGTGAAAATTATGCCGACGAAGAGATCTGGGTAAACCTTTGACTTTTATTATTATTCCATCGCTCATATAGTACAAACTGAGTAAAGCCAAAGCCGGGGGCTTATACGACCTGTGGTCAGAATGACAGAAATTGTTTTATATAGAAATGAAGACTGTAGGCTAAACTACAAAACTAAAACAAAATACAAAACTGAAATTAAATAAGTTTACATGCATGCAGTCCTATAACAGAAACGGAACTATTAACAAAACTAACAATATGAGAATCCTGCGCTATATGACTAGATGAAACAGTGTGATGTGAAAGGTATCAAAAAATATTAACAGGTAACAAAGAGAGTTGGAGGAGTGGTCGGGAATAATTAGCGAGGCAAAAGAGATGGTCAATATCAGGTTAGTCTTCTCCTTTTAAGGACCCATCAGTCGTCACTTATGGTTTGTGGGAAAGAGTAGTTGACTCCGATCAGGCGTGGGTAGGTCTAGGGTCAGGAGTATTAATATAACTTACATTGTCTTTTATTACACATCAGGGGCGGATCTAGGGGGAGGGTGAAGGGGGTGCGCACCCCGCCCCCCCCCTCCCCCTGAGATGACCTGCGGTTTTCTAATACAACTGGTATTCTGCAAAAAAAAAACTATGTGGTTTATTGGTGTTGAAGTAGAGCAAGAGACGAGTGCACCCCCTCCTAAAAAAAATCCTGGATCCGCCCCTAAAAAAAAAAAGCAAGTGTCGCAAGATGACTTTATCCTGCAACTAAGATCGAGCGGTAAATATTCACGGTTTTCTCACATGTAATGAAGTCCTTGTAGCCATGTTTGCCCAATCTTTGCTTCTATACGACTTCTACTTCAACCACAGAAACTTTCACTGAGAGCCCGCAAGTTGTCTTTTATTTTTAAAGCCAGTTAGTTAAAAGTATTCTTCAGTGTTATGTGGGTGTGGGAAAGTTTATTTGCTTCCGGAGATGTATAGAGTTTGTATGAGCCCAGCAAAATTGAAAAGGCGAATGACGCTGCAGCTGCATGGTTCATCAGCACTCAACTTTTTTTTTTGCTTGGCAATTGAGGAGAAGCGATAAAAACTGTATACAACATTTTTATGAATGTCGAAGTTGTGGTTGTAATTTTTATCATTGTTTACACAACTTGCAAGAAGAAGTCGCCCAACGATCATCTTGATTCCGGTTACTACCCGCTTATACAGGTTCTGCGATCAGGCGTCCTTTTTTGCAATGGAGCGCGAAAGTCGATCACAGGTTAAAAATCAGAGGTAAAATTCAAGCATTGCTCGATCTAGTGTGTGGCGAGTTTTGCCGTAATGATGGACCTTCATTGGACAGACAGAAAAGAGTCGGTCATCGGATTGAAACGTTTTGGGGAAATGGTTTAAGTCAAGTCTTAATTGCGCAAAAAAGAATATTGTGCAATTGTGTTCGTTAGACACAGCCCTTTCCGGTTGCCATGAAAATGAAAGTATTTTGCCCCAGTCTCACTTCATTTAGGTCTTTGAGAAATAGTATAATGTGATTAAACTGCATCATATTCATTTGTTAAGAAGGTTAATTTTTCTTGGAGATTTTGCTTTTTGGCCTTATCGTTAGCTTTCTTGTGAAAGCTACTGTTGTAAAATGTGGTCGTTATTATTATTATTATTATTATTATTATTATTATTATTATTATTGTTATTATTATTATCATCACCTTGTAAATACTTTTGAGGCTTAATTGAACCCACACTATCAAGACTGATGTATAACTGAAGCGTTTTATAATCACTAGAAGTCAAGTCTCCGAGATTTTGTTGGAAATTTGTCTCCTTCAGATTGTCTGATCTGTGTTAGGTCATGCAGCATTTTGCAAACAAAAATTAAAGCAAGAGGTTAATTTTCTCTATCTAAATAATAGTACGGATCATCAGGCCAAGTACTCCCAGCAAAGTAGTATTTATTGCTCAACTCTCTAAACTCTCCCTATGAAAGACGGACACCTTGTACTGTACCTCAAAATATCACGCCAGACGTTGCCGGTTTCGCCTTTCATTAGTGGCCGACACTTGCTGATATCGTTCACCCGATTATAATTTAATAGTGAAAAGAAAAAAGTAAAGGCGGGGCCGGGTGCCAAACCGAAAAAAGACCTTTTTATTTCCGTAAAGCTTTTGTAATTTCAGTTATCCTTCCTTTAGATATATATAGTTGAAGTGAAAATAAAGTTTTCATTAGGCAGCAAAAATTGTTGAGGATAAAATTTTCCCAACTTAACGTTAACACATCAATTAGCTGACAAAATAAAAATAACTGCAACTTCAAAGAATGATAAATCAGCTGGATAAATAAAGTTATTTGCCTCTTTTGACGTGTACGTTGAACATCGGGCTGCGTGGGCTTGGTTTCAGAGTAATAAGTAATAAAGTATACTTTTTTTGTAGGATTTCTTCGCTATGAAAAGAGTCAACGCCTTCGCGGAAGTAATATTGAGATTTTTCATAGGGGACTGAATTAACAGGTGTGAAAGGGAGGTTACCAGGTATCAAATTTTAATTCATAAATGAATTAAATAGTGGTATTATTTACTATTGCCTATAAAACTTGAAACTTATGGGCATCTTCCTTGTGGCTCGAGGCTGATATCTATTCAGCCGTCTTCAGCTGGTAAAAAATAACCGTTGCAAATTATTGTTTGTAACATCACGCCGGCATGGGCTTTCAATTTGACCCAAGAGTTAGAGATCCCTTCAGATAAGCCAATACTGAAAAGTGTGACGTGTAAAATGATATTTTAGTAGATTTTCCAAAGGGCACTGATTGGTATTTCCTAATAATAACAATCACTCATAAAAGATTGTTTCTTTTCCTGTGGATTATATAGAGCCGGAGTGGCTTTGAGACTAATCTGCTGATGTTGTCCCTACTTTAACACTCCACGCACGCAAGCTAATTTAATTTTGTTTTTCCTAATTCTTACTCGAACTTTTACAACTTGAAAAAAAAAATAACAGATTAGGTTTTCTGTAGTTTCTTCTAATGAGCGAGAAAAGATAAACACAACGGGATTTTTATAGAAGAGCCCGAGCCAGCGCTGAGACCAGATATGGTTGTGAGCGTGGTGTAGTGCCGACCAGTTTCTGACTGACAAACACTCAGCGCTCAACTGAAACTGAGGCAATACTGATGAAATTAAAAAGGCCTTGAATGATGTAATTTCTGATCCAGTTACTCACAGGGGCTCACAGAATAACGAACCACCATCCCCACTTGAACATAACGGTGTTAATCAAGAATTTTGTCCGGCCTCACGTTTTACGTTCTCGTTTTTGTACTGCTGTATTGAAATACCACCGCGAGCAGCGGGTTCTCTCTTGCATGGCTTCGCGTAGTTGGTTTGCAAGCGAGGAGAACGACTTTCATAAATGTTAAGAGATAAACCTCTGATCGCAGGGTAGTACTGAAATACATAATACATTGATAATGAACCCAACCCGTGAGAATTCATTTTGTCGTCGTTGTTGAGTTTTATCGAGTTCTTTAGGACTGAGCGGTGATAAGGCTAATCGAGCACTGTAACCAGAACACTTAGATCTGATGTTAGAGTTCTGTGGTTCTTTTGAGACTTTTGACAACAGCTGCCAAAGAGGATTGACCAGAACATACATATCCTAATGGCTGAAAACGAAAACGACTCTAACGAAAACATTGATTCAGTCTTTTATTTCAACCAGTAATGTAGAATAAAGTTCATTTGAACTAACTCGGCTGATCATAACACTTTTAAACAGTGTTCAAACAAAACCCAAGAGGGGGCAAAGTCTGGCATCAGGAGGAGACGAAACAAAGACCAGGAAGGGACAAGAGACTATTATTTGTACTTGAGCGAGAATCGCTACTTAAATTATCAGGAAATCATTTCAAACTATACTGAACCACTTTTACCGTCACCGAAACTAAAAAGCCGAAAGCCGAAAAACAACACTTGGAACGCTTTTAGTGAGTCTCCATTGATGAGAGTCACTTCCGAGACATGGAGGTTGAAACTGATTTCCTATGAAAGGATATGTAAAAACGTTATCACAGCTCTGTGACTTGTGCCGCCTGCAGCGGACAATTTCAAAAATTCTAGAAAAATTTGAAATCTCTAGCCTTCTTCCTCAATAATCATCCAATGACTGTTACTGTTTCTGATCATCCATCCTGAGTTCTGTTTTGCGGTGAACCCAGCCCTCTCACCACAACCAACCAACACTTCTGACACTTCTCTTTATCGCTGGGGGTGGGAGTCATAAGTTTCCGATAATTTGTAACCAAAACAAAAAGGGCAGAAATTCTTGCTGTAAATGGATTCGTTACCTGATCCCACCCACTTTTCCTGACTGTTTTTAAACCTAAGGGTTTTATAAATAATCCCGATATATTCGCAGAGAAAATATTATTTCAAATGTCAAAACTTGAGCATAGAGATTTACAGGTTGTTGAGAAAGACTTCATGGTCTACTTTTATATGGGTATTACGCGAATTTTTTGTCGGGTTTGTTGATCTCAGAATCTCATTTCCGTACGAATTCAAAGTTTAAAAGTAATAGGAAACAGTGAGCAAAAGAATAAACCAGAAATTCGGGTTGGTTGGTTTGTGACTGGTTCTCCGGAAATGCTATGGCTTTCCACTGGCAAACCTCTGACCTCTCTGTTTGAGAAATATTCTGAAAATGAAATCAACCGTGAAGATTGATCACTAAAAACATCAACCCCTGCTTGAACAAAAATTCTTCTATCACTTCTGCGCTGAAAGACTGTAAAACACAGATACCAAATTCGGAACTTTAAGCGTTGGTTGGTGCCTAACAATCGAAAAGAAGAATGAATTTAATTGTTACGTAAAGGAAAGCGTAATACACTTTGAATAGCAATTAAAGTAATTAGACCGCGCCCTGTTTGTCGTTGTTTTTACCCGCAGGATATAAATGAATATTTTATTACTAGTAAAATGTGGAAACTTGGTGGACTTTATCCCTACTAGCAAGGCGTCTTTCAGTTACCTAATATAGAGTATGTTCGTATCATGAAACCATCTATTGCACTGGTATTTCGCAAGCCTGTTATGATTAATTTCGTTTAGTCACTGTTATTTCGTCCAACCGGAAGTGTTTTGACAGGCCTTAGAAATAAAATCCCTCCTTTCTCTCAAGTGATAAAAGATCGCTATGGAGACGATGACGAAGAGCTAAGACGTTTTGTGGAGTGGCTTGTGATTGGTCCGTTGGGACATACCAATACTCAACAGGGATAATAACTGTCAGTCATTTTGGCACTAATAACAATGTGTTCATTTCACCGCACCGAATGGTTATGAAGTACAGTTGAGAAGAGAACATCTAATCGCACGCTTTGACTTCACCGCTTTTTTACGTTTATCGAATTTAAAATCCAAATGCCTTCATTACTACTAGAGAGCCCACAGAGTTACCGACGGATTCAAATAGAGAAGAAGAAATCCATGGCCAAGGGAGCCACAGTATCGTGGCTCTCTGATCAGTTGAGCCGTGGCTCTTTCCTTTTACTCCTTGACTGTCGCCCATTCTCTGAGTTCGCCCGCTCTCACATACAAGGGGCAATCAACCTTACTATACCTTCGTTGATGTTACGGCGACTAAAAAAAGGCATGAACTTCGCTATTAGTTCGTTGATCACATCAGAGGAAGGAAAAGCACAATTTAATCGAAATCTTCGCCACGCTTCAGGGATAGTTCTGTATGATTCAGACACGACTGAGGTGTCCAGTGTTTGTTGTGGCAGTGCTCTTGGAGTTCTACTCAAAAAGTTTTCTGAAGATGTTAGCGCTCCAGTGTGGCTACTTGAAGGTACGCTCGAGACGATTTTTTCTTATCTATGAAACAATCGCTAGCGTTGTTTCTTTTAATTGGCTTGCCTAAATTTTAGTAATCTCAACCACCGACTTGTTAGTAGTTCTTTTGCTTTTCTGTTTTCAACATTTGTTTACTTTTGAATTTACCATTGCTGGCCGGGTTTAACCCTCATCTTGCTATGACTTTGTTTTTTCTAGGAGGATTTTCAAAGTTTGAGAAAAAGTATTCAGCATTTTGCGAACAAGGCGAGGATATGGAGAGACCACTGCTGTCCCTGTCAGGGTTAAAAATTCAAGACAGTGAAGAAGATCATGGCCCATTGAGATTTGAGCCGCCGGCTACACCATTCATGGTTACAGATCACCAAGAAAGTCAAACAAAAGTTCCTGTTCAAATTCTGCCACATCTATACCTTGGCAGTGAAAAAGACTCTTCGGATCTAGAAATATTGAAGAAATACGGAATTTCTTACATCTTGAACGTTACTCACGACAAACCAAACTCTTTTGAACATTTGCCGGGATTTAAATACAAGAAACTACCAGTGGAAGACAACTGGAGGGCAAATCTATCCGACATGTTTCCAGAAGCGTTCCAGTTTATCGGTATGTAACAAATAATTTTTTTATTATTACAGCTGTATCGTTTCTAGCAAACGCAGCCATTTTGTGTTTGATGAGTAATAATTTTGATTAATAATTTAATAAGATTGTTGAATTACTAAGTACTGTTCAGTTAAAATTACATGGCATAGTATAGATACTGCTTAAATACGCTTGGGCAAATAACTGCTAACTTGCCCCGAAGAAGAAAATTAACATAAAGGCCAATTTGCTAAAATGTTTGGAGCAAAGAAGCAAAATGTTTAACATGCATAGTGTGGGAGGGATCCATGATACGCTAAACGTTTCAGCTCGTTGTTTGTTTAAGAGTGGGTGAGCTAGTAAGCACTAAAAACTCGCACACAACATTGACGTAGATATTGTGCGTAACAAAGGTTGTAAGCGTCCCATGGCCATTTTCTTCTGCGTTTGTCTCATCGAGGATCACTCGTAAATAATTTAAAAAAAACACCTGTCTTGCGCTCAAATGTTTTTGCCGCACAAGCAGGAATTGTCAATTCCCTTCTGAAGTACAAGTGCTAACCTTTATTGTTGAAAAAGTCGATATTGGTCTTGCGGCTTTTATGTAAATTTGATACCAGCATTTAATAATCATCTAACGATCATATTTTTTTTCCTCTTTTTCTTCTTCAGACGAGGGAATAACGCAAAATCGTGGCGTCCTTATTCATTGCCTTGCTGGCGTGTCCCGCTCTGTAACTGTGACCATAGCGTACCTCATCTCGGCACTCAACATGACTTTAAACGAAGCCTATGATTTCGTCAAACAAAGAAAACCAAGTGTAAATCCTAACCTAAACTTCATGGGACAACTGTTGGAGTTTGAGAGACAACTAAGAACGCCGCAAACTCCAAGTTCAACCACAAGTTCTCTGTCTAGTGACTGCAGCTTGGACGGGGAGGAGGATGTGGACTGCCTGATGGTAGCCCCGCGCTTTCAGAAACTTTCTTAGTTTAATGCCATACTCGTTATTATTGCTAATGAAGACAGACTGTGCCTCAAAACCTAATTCGAACTTATTCTATGAGGTAATTTAGGGGCATAAAAAGAATCTTGTGAAGAGTTCTAGAATCATTTCGAGAGAAAACGTAAGATACATGAAAGAGAAGTTTGTAGATTTTATTATTTGGGATTATTCAGAAATTCTATTGATATTACTAACAGCTCAATTGGATGTTGTTGCATTGATTTGGGCAGTTCTAAAGGAATTTTGCATCATATGCAATTCAATTGTAAACACAACTTTGTGTTATTTTCAGTGAATTACTACTACCTAGACACCATACGAATACGACCTTTTTTCCTTGGCTAATGTAATTAACTGCTTTGCTAGTTCTAATCTTACGTTGTTTTCAACTTCAATCAAAGTTTTAGTAACAACTACGTTACTTGGTCAAAAGATTTTTTCTTCATGGCAACCAAATCAACTTAGGAATTTGTTTCTGATTGCTCAAATGTGTTTATTTACATCTGATTTACTTTTCATTATACATTCATGGAACATCTATCACAATCTTTGACAATTTGTAAATGAAAGTAATTTATACGCGACGTGTGTAAATACGTTACATCAAATATTGAAATATATTCTGTTAGGCGCTTTAAGCCCGGGCAAAAAAAGATGAGCTGTATATATTTGTACTTTATTGTTAGATCTACAAATTGTAAATATATTATTAAGAGATATCTACTTTAATAATAAATCCAGAAAGTTCTAAGACTATGAAAAAAACGTGTTGTGGATCAGTGATTAGAAATAAAACATCGTTGAAGGTGGTAGAGCCGAAAGGAAGGAAGTGCAGCGAGTCGTTAAGCTGTGGTTTTAATCACGAGATTTTGCCTTAGGCTTTTTTTCCTAATTGCTTTGTTGCCTTCAAGGAAACAATCAATTCAGTGTTGCGCGATATCCCAGTTAATTCAAACTCTCTGCCTTAGCTTCTACTCGTTTCATCTTGCCCTAAAATCTTAATCACTAACCCTAACAAGATAAATAGAAGGTACAATGTTACAAGATTGAAATACAAGAACTTATTGCTACGCACTTCCGGAATTTGGTAATACAGTATAGCAAGACCTTTACCCCAACGTGTATTGATTCAAATCTATTCCTGAAGAGCCTGTATCTGAAAAATGAAGAAATACCAAACTATAAGTGATCTCGGATAACATTTTGAAGAAATCCAGACGGTAATTTAAGTCTTGGTCTGCGAGCATCGAGAAGAGAGATGTGAAAACCGAGTACATCCAAAACAGTATAGATTGAGTCAGGAATATCGATCGTCTTTTTAGGTTGAAAATGATGAAGCAGTTAATCTAAGATGCCGAGAGTAAACATTTGTGGTAAAGTTGTAAGCGTTTTGGATCCGGTTGGCCAGTGTGGTATTTCGTCTCGTGCACTCTAACCGAGATGTCAACAGCATGGTTTCCGGAATGCTAGACTCACTGGCGCCAACTGTATTTATCGGCTATTTTTGTAACTGCTAACACGCATGCGTGAACTGATGAGATCAGCGGGGTAGGAGCAATGTTGTTGGCGACGAGGTGATAATTGTTGACGCGAGGTAGGGTGGCCATTTGCGGTTACTACCCTTCTTGAAATATGGCCTCTTTCAAGAAAGGTTTTCATTTCGAAGAAACAAAGCCACATTTGCTCTAAGCTCCGTACGGTGGCAAACTGATTAATCTCGATACTACCCATATATAACAACAGGAGTCGAGTAATCGGCTCCTGATAATAAACAGTCACTTGAAAGTTGCACAAATGAGCACTTTCTGTTTAAGGATCAAGCGACACTTTAGGATCTTCAGAAGTACTACCAAGTGGTTATCACTAGATTAGTGTGGGAGTAATGTCCTAAGTCAAGTTCTCGATCACTCCGTTAAGTTGTATCTTGGTTCAGATACTATTACTGTTCCAATTTTGTGCGCGTGCGCGATTTTCCCAAGCGAAGGTGACAAAAGTGATTCCCGCCTACTGTCTTCTGACAAAACAAAATAAGTAGAAGGTAAAATTCATGGGAAAAGATGGATTACAATCGTAGTTCCATATTAACCCACGCAAGACTTCTAACCCTCACAAAAGTTCGGCTTAGCTTTCATGAAATTTGTAACGGAGCTGAATTTTTTTTTCCTTGCCCGAAGAGCCGGATCATATTTCGATCACAAGACCATGACAATGGGCTTTTTACCGTTTTTCAAATTGAACTGAGCGTGAGTCAGAAAGAAAAAAATTATTTACAAACCGAGATACTCAGGATGTTTTGGCTAGTGCATGGAGCCTCAAGGGACAAGTGACTGTTCAAAAGTCGACATTATGGACCTTTCCTCTGGAGAAAATTTGCGCAAGGCTAACTAAGAGAGAATAATCTAGCTTATTCTTTCTTGGGCCAACCCATCCTTCCTTCCCCTTCCCTCCCCTCCCCAGTGCCAGCGACGTCTGCAGTTGGTTCCGCGTATCTTTAATCCTACAGCTGCCGGCGATGTCCGTAAAATTCTTTGGATTTGTGGGCGTATGACGTTAATGGCTGAGTCATTTCCACAACCAAACCTTTCTGTAAATAAAATTAAGATAAGGAAGGACTTTCCGCATTCAATCAGGCTGGTTTATCCTTAAAAATGAGATTCTATCTTTTCCCAGTAGTGTTATTTGCCAACTAAGTAGAACTTGGCCTCAGTTTTGTATAAGGGTCCGATTGGCACGTAACAAATACTCTTCGTTTTTAAAGCGTTTTTCTTCTCGCTCTGACGATTTACTGAAATGATTCATCCCATCCCAGACCTTTTTCAGTCTCGATTATGCTGTTCAATGCACCGCTGGTAGACCCTGGTATCTCTTTAGATCTTATGCTGATCACATCTACACACACACACCGTCTAGATCTACAATTTTAATCTATAACAGTTTCCCATTACACAGATATGGTCGGCTAAAGCTCACAGCATTTAAGTAGAGATTAACAATGCACATAATCATAAATAAAATAATCCATTATGTAAGTCTTGTTGCCCAACAAATTTGATAGCTAAATTACTTACAGCGCGTTTGAAGCAATCAACGACTAGCCTCGAGACCTGAGGAGACTTAAAGAAGACGAGAGGTAAAGAAGATGGCATAGCAGTTGTAGACGCAACTAACTAAAGAGCCGAGCCTGTACCGATTTCAAACTTTCGTTTTGTAACTCGAAAAGTTGATCTTCTTTCTAGTTCTAAGAATATATTGCATGCCATGCAAGCGCATTCTAAGAACCTATACAAAATTTTTTAACCTGTTCAGTTATACTAGAGCACATTTTTTTCCACGAGAACTTGATTTTCCGATACCTCTTTCCGTCACTATTTCTAAAGCTTTTTCTTTCGTACCGCAAGGGGGCAGACGGCAAATTTTTGTTTCTGGAAATATCTATAGGTCGCCTGAACTGTTCATTAGTGGGATGCCTAAAATATAACATCGACCAAATCTTGGGAGGGAAATGTGAAAAATCCAGTTCCTAGAATCGTTTGGAAGTTAAAAGAAAGACTTCGAAATTCTGAAATGAATGAAACAGTTAGTTTCGGCGAAGAATAGAAATTTCTAGACAATATTTGCTTTTTGGAACAGATATTTTACAGAAAACAGTCATCAGGTGCCCCTGATTAACAATAAGCTCTCAGGAAGGAAGGCGGGGTCCTCGAGTACTCGTTTCCTGCTCGCAGTCTCTGACCTACACCCATAGCTATTGAATAGTTTGCTCATTTTATTACTAGCCGCAGTATAACCTGTGTGCATCGCTGACAGGTGGCTTATGAATACATACCAAACGTTATTTAAACTCGGATTTTAAATAGCTGGAGAGAGCTAGTATCTCCGAGTATAATAATATTTAAAGAAATGCAACAAAATTGATAAAGTATGAAAGTATAAAATTGCTACGCATCGGCATATTATAAGTCTCGTCTTTAAAAAAATTCTACACAGTAATATTATGAATAGCGTGCTTAAAAGCAATGAGAGATCCAGAAGTTCTTATGTTATCGGGCAGCGTATTCCATACTTGCATACTTGATGAGCAGCATATCTGAACGATTGTAATCCATAGGAGGTTGTAGTAACTCTTGCTCGATTCACTTTTAGGGTACCTCTGAAGTTGTACGCTGTTGTTCGTTCTTTAGAGCAATTCCATAAAGAGTCTTGTACGTAGTGACTGGCATGTTCTGAACACGAGAAGATTCAAGATTCACAGACCCTACTATTTTAAGTAAAGTTTCATAGTCAAGATTTCTTTTCAGAACCGTCCTTAAAGCCTGCTTATTGAAGCGCCTTAATCCCAACCTCGTCCACAGGGCGCTTTCCCACCTCTAAAGCCAGGGAAAAACGCCCTTCAATTCCGACTTAAAAAAACTTATCAGAAACTGACATGTTTTAATATTTTAATTGTTGACACAATTTAATTCCTACCCATCGAGATTCTTGGTTTAAGAATCTGACTAGGAAGTTGCCTCCCTCTTTCCCCTTAGCCTTGCTGTGTTTTTTCATTTATCGCCTAGAAGCTTGCTCCGCTTCTTCTTAACACACTGACCCTCTCTCTAATGACAAGTACTAGGCACAGGTTCCTGGCACTAATTAATTCAAGGAGGCGGGGTGTTGTCTCAATAGCAGATAATCCCCCTTCTACCTCATAAAATTTTCCACCTCATTGAGTAAATAGGGTGCGCGGACGACTCACGAAGGGTTTCGCGCGCAAGCCCGTGAATGAGAAGTTCTCCAGCGCATGCCTTCTTAAGTATCTGATACACCACACTTACACCACACGAGTTTTGCACGTGCGAATTTGTAAATTCAACAAAATTTTATAAATTGTCATTACAGGCACTGTTATTAAACCAAAAAGAGAAAAACAATTCCATTAGATTGTTTAATTACTGACTAAACTAAGAAGTCCTCCATACCTTGCCGGTCAAAATAGAATATTTGTCGACGACAGGCTTGGTTCCTGCTTCGACTCTCATTCAAGTTTGACCTCGTCTCAAAAAAAACTCAAACTAAATAGTTGGCAGTTATGATCAAATCTTTGAGTTTATACCGAGCTTGCTCAGCGCTGCTCTCGGATAGTTTTTATTACTCAAATTGGGAGGCCCTGCTCAGTACCGGAGAGACATAAGTCTCAAAAGGCGAAAAAGGAGTGTTGCGTATAAGTGGGAAAGTGAAGAACAAGGAAATTGTTTTTACTTTTTTTCCAACTCATTTGATAAAGTAATTTGTCCAAATTTGTTCAAATGCTGCCGTTTCACGCACTCAAATCAAGGGATTGTGGGTTCAGTGCGGAATGGTGGAACTACGCTATTGTTCAGAGGAAACATAGTAGCTATATAATGATAGCGTGCTGAACTGTACCATGGGGAAAATACTGGTTTCATAAAGTCTTCTTCAAACTTCTTAATTGAACTCAAACGTTGGAATCATATATTTAACAAATACGTGACGAAGCTAAAGGCGTGACTTGGGACGTATACAGACTGTACAGGAATTTTTTGCGACAGAACTGAAAATTGTCATCACAGTCTGGAATTTACAAATTCCTAAGGCTCTTATGTAAACATTCTGAGCCTAATTCGTTTACTCTCTGTCTACAGCGGAAAAATAACTTGAAAGATGTGGGTGTCAATTTTAATCTGTATTATCTTCGACCAACATCGATTTTAGTCTATATCTGCATACTACTTGAAATGCTCGTTCTTCCGGTAATCCCAATATTTTGTCTTGTTGTTGTTGCGGTCAATACACTGCTGCCTGTTTTTCAGTCGATCTACGCAGAAAATACACACAGCATTTCGAAAATTGCAATTAAAGAGTTTTATACAAAACGATTGTTCTTCTTTCTTTTAGGTTTATACTTTGAATACATGCTGTTACGCAGCAAAATGTAATAATCGCCGCAAAGTGTAATATTAACGCAAAATGTAATACTAACGCAAAATGTAATAACGTTGACGCAAAATGTAATAAAATTTTCCACGCAAAATGT